GCTGACTTGCTCGTTTGAGCTAGAGCAAGTGCCGCACAATCGCTCGAGCTGCTTTGAAAAGGTGCGATTGTGACACTCAGCACCCAGCACCACTATCTTGCAAACCTCAATGCCCTACAACGCTAGCTTACCTGTGCATCACACCCCTATCGCCGAACACCCAACCTATCATACACGTTAGTCTTGTCATGTTGTCATATACACACACCCACGCATCCGATCCTACACATTACACTGTTAGGACTTGATAACTAGAGGTAAGATGGAAATTGAAAAGGCAGTTTGTTAAGAGTTTGTTATGCAATAATTTTTAATGTAGAAGGTTTGGGACGTAGGTGGGGTAGGAAACATTCTAATGGTTTAGTCTTGACTGTTCTCGATAGGGGAAGGATCTAAATACCTCGAAATACTTGGGAGTATCTCATTGTATTTTCTTAGTGATGTTTCAATATTATTTCCAAGTCTTATCATCTAGTTCCAACCAATGGTATCAGAGGATTCATTCTTTTGGATGGATATTGATGTACCAAGAAAATTGCTGTTAGATCTGAATAGTGCAACACAAWAGGGGAAATGATGTGTGATTTTGCATCAAGGAGCACGACAAAAACAAAAGTGGCAGATGCAAAGATAGCAAACCAGAAAAGTAAGAGTTACTCTCTTTCCTTTAGAGAAAGAGACTCTTTTCCACAAAGAGAGGCGTTTTTTAATCATTTACACCCATGCCCGGAAAACCACTCTTCGAATTATAACCTAAAGGGAGCCCTAGGTAAGAGGACGGAAAGTCAAACACTTCACACCCAACCAGAGAGGCACAAGAGAGGAGCTTGGAAGACTCACAGCAATGAAGGTTGAAATATTAACGCTTAAGATGTTTAAATGCTAGAGGAACAAAGGAGTGGGCTACTCTCTAGTTTGAGGTTGTATGGTTTGAGCATATATTCTTGCAAATATAAAGATATGAGGAACAATTTATTAAAGTAAAACAAATTTGTTGGTTGAACTTGCATCCGGCAAGTAAACACACTGCTATTCGGATGCAAAAGATGAATCCTTCCTTTAGCCTTTCTCCAAGTTGGTTTGTCCCTTGTAAAACAATTGCTGTTACATACTACATGATCCACAAGGAATTTAGCCGATGTGGCATTTCTCCCACAAGACTCAAGCCTGTCTTGCACATCCACTAAGTAGTCATCCGTCAAAAAACAAAGCCAAGGTTTGATGGTTAAACCTTCTTTGGGATATATGGTTGAGAAATAAAAACATGAGATTCTTTATAGCGAATAGCAAAAATGAGTGAGGAATTATAGGCTACTCGAGGTAAGGTAAAATTATTGATCCATTATAATTCAATGTTTGCATGCATAAAATGGGAAATATGATTGAYGCATTATGAGCAGTCTATGATTAAGATTAGGTAATCCTTAATCATGAAAACCACGGCAAGTTATCATAACATTGGTACAATGGTAGATGCATGTGTTGCCTACCTTGACAAAAACTTGGCTTGCCCGAGCAAGAGCGTTATTGGCAAGATCCATACTATTGCTTGCTTGCATGCATAAAATATATCGTATCCAGTACTCAGGGTAGTTGGCACAAGCAATAACACATCTCTCGTATAACTTCACCACCTGGTCGCAAGATCAAACAACAAAAAAGGAAAGACATATAAAATGGTCTTCACATTTAGGATACACTAAGTAAAGATGTGATAAGAAACAGAAAAGAGATATGCAACAGAAATACTCCTCAGTAGAATAGAGAGGCCCCTCAAATATGAAATGAGGGACCCTCCTTGCCTGACAGACAGATGGTTAGGAAGATAAGATACCTGCATGCATAACATTGGAATTTTAAAAAGAATAAAAAGTTACTGTACAAACACATCATGAACCTAGAATCTCCACTGATAAATGAGAGTTCGAAGTACTTAGCCTTAAAGAAACCAAATTGAAGGCCCCTGCTTTAGTCTCAGTTCAAATTCCCGATTAAATAGTTGCTTCATCCAATGGTTTAGCCAGTAAGGCATATGATGCAGCAGATATTTTTTAACTGTAAGTCAATACATAACAAGGACGACTAAAAACTAAAAATTATAAACATATTTAAAATCTGAAACAAACAAAAGTACCTTATTTAAGTCTCCTTCTTGTTCTATAAAATCCAGGTAACTGTGCCAATTATCAAGCTCTGCAACATTTAGTGGCCGAACATGAAAGTAGGGCCTTCTGATAGCTGTTTCAAAACCAATGATCTTAGAATCGAACTCTTTAGCTTTCTTATAGATTTCTTCTCTAATGGCGATATACTTCTCCAACTCCTCTGCTTCTGTTAAGCCAGCACTTACAGTTTTAGATGATGGTTCTGCAGCATCAGGATGACCTTCCTCCCCATTTACTTGATTACCAGCCTCTGATTGCACATCTACTACAGCTTCCTCAGAACTCTTCAATTCTGACAAAGGTCGACTTGCAGCTAACTCCTTAAAGCTGTGAAGCATTTGCATCGTAGTCCAGAGGGGAAAAAACATTATAGATCATATATCAGGAAAATAAGTTCAACAAAGCCATAAGGATTGTATTAATCCCATACAATCAAAAATTAAAGACTTCATTTATTTTACTAAGAAACAATCTATCTGATAGCTTTTCCTGACACAAAATGTAACTTAACAAAAAAAAACAGGTGCAATCAAAATCGAATATTTTTAAAAAAAAATTTTTTTTTGGGGGGGGGGTCAAATCAAACTACTGTGTCAATAACAGCAAAAATAAAATCAAGCGAGGCAGATCCAGTGAATGTACAAGAGTGGAAAAAGTTTGGTTTTCCAGTAGTCAATTGATGATCCCGGTTGATAGTAGTTGTTGGCTTCAAAATCATGGTAATTTTTTGTGTTTTTCTGCTGCGCGTAATGGTCTGATAATGCTTTGTTGAGTATCTGGTTTGTGGCTGCAGTTAGAAGAAGATGCTGTTGGTTTTAAAGCCATTCAGTTGGTTCAATGTTTAAATAAAAGCAGTTGGCAACACTAAGATTTTGGTTCGATTGTTGCCTCATGCTGTTACTTTTGATCTGCTGGTTTCAATGTTTAATAATTAATCTTTGGGGCAGGAGATATAGTTGTTTAGTTTTGTAATGTCTTTAGTTGGTCAGTTAATGTTAGTGTTGTTATAGTTTATTTTGCCAGATCTTTAGGGTGGTAAGAAGCAATGTATGTTGATCACATAATTGCCAAGATTCAATGAAAAGCAGCAATTAACTCAAGAACTAAGGTGCCGTGTGATAATCATTTCATTTTTAATTTTCTGTTTTTAAAAATTATTCTTGTTTTCGTACGATTTCATTAGTAAATTTTTTACCTCTCTTAAAAATATATTTGAATACTTGAATTCTTAGCTAAATTTCAAAAACAAAAACTACTTTTTCTTGTTTTCAAAATTTGGCCTAGGTTTTGAAAATGTTTATAAAAACTATACAAGAAAACAAAAGAACACATGGGTAATGTTTCTAAATGTAACTTTAAAAATGAAAACCAAAAATAAAATGGTTATCAAACGGGCCTAATCTACCCTTAAAGAATAAGAGGAAATTTAACAACTTCGAAGGCAATGGCTGTATAAATACAAAGTTCAGCAAATATTAAAGAATGTGCAACTTTTTTCCTTCACTGAAAAGAAGAATGTATGACATCAAACTCGATCGGGAGACAGACAATTTCTTTTTTATAATAAGTATTTGTTCCCATTTTCTACAACCCCCAGTCAATGAAACGAAATGTCAATAGAAAGTGGAATAAGTCCATCCAAAAGTAGCAACTCAAAAAAAGAACTCCATTACCATTGTTCAAAAGCAAAAGAATCCAGATCACTGAAAAGAGCAATATCAAATTATTTGAATAGATGGTTACCAAGAATTGCAAGACTCACCTATTGAAATACCGATCCAACTGTTGATTTGGATTCTCCAGTATACGTGTATATATCATGGCAAGACGGCCCCACTCCTGCTGCATGTACTCATATTCAATATATTTATCCCAAAGGGGAAAAGAGAGGTAATCTGTCCCGACATAAGCTAATCCTCTCTCGAAAAGCCTGAAACATCATGAACCAAGAAAAAGGTCATCATGTAAATAAAGATCAAGTGGTGCAAAAGTATCCACAAAACAGGGGCAGCTGCACTAACGTTGAAGGTGAAGGAACAATTTACTCTAACAGCATATGACACTTCTGCATGCTGCATTTACCTTCCTAAAAAATCATATTATGTCCGTGAATGAAGCAACGAAAGAGGCCATCTTAGCCCATAACTGAACGAGATATTCCCAGCAGCAATTTGTATATTGATGCACCTCAGTGGGCCAAGGTTAAACAACTGCCGTAATTCATTCATAACTACATACTAAGGCATAAGCCACAATAGACAATGGGAAGTTGACACTATTTCTTTTATTGAAAAAATGACTAAAAAAGGCAAGAAACAGTGTAGCCCAAATCATAGGAATGCACATTGGAAAATGAAATTCCAATATACATTTCAATCAAATCTTTCYGCCTTACACGTAGGAAATCACTGGTACAGCCATCTAAAACGAGGTTACAAGCAAAAAGAAAAAGATTGTTATCAGGTCCAAGTAACTATGAATCAGGGTAATGGAACACAAGGAAAAGCACGAACTGGACAAACAGAAGTATATACCTTCGAATGGTCTCTGGATCTCCATAAGTACTAAGCGTGAATATGCAATAATGCAGCCAAATATCAACTGAGTAAGTAACCCCATGTACTGCTCGTTCATACACCTCAACAACTTTATCAGTAGATCCAAAACGTGCCTCATGATCAGCATACTTCTTCCAATAGCCATAGCATAAAGGAAATTCTGCTAAAAAGGCATCATAAACTCTCCGGATTTTCAGTATGTTGTCCTGAAAATAATCAAAGCAATTTCACTTAAAGTAGGCAATAAGTCTTCTCATAGAGATATGATTCCAGTGCAAAATTCAGTTCACGTCAAGTTTTGAGAAATCAACATAAAATGTGAAAACAGATGTATCATGCCATTATTACAAAAATGTGCATCAAATAACTCACACGTAGAGAATAACCAAACAAATTAAAGAAAATAATAGAGTTTTTTCAAGCTCTAAAAGAGTTGTAAAGATATGCACTAACAATATATGCTCATATAGATTATGAAAGAAAAAGTCCATGCTATTAGCAATATATCCATCATGATAACCAGAGATATATCTATCACATGGATAAACCATCAATAATCAATATTATTAAAAGATATAAGCAAGTCCATTCAAGCCAGTTTTTGGCGAAAGCCAAATGCCAAACTGACTTATCAGTTTGAGAGATGACATGGCTGAACTACTCATTCAAATGACATCAAGAGACGACACAGACTAAAAGGGCAAGGGGCAAGATGTCCCTTTTTCCGAAAGGGGTTACATAAATGCCCTCCAATCTAAGTTTATAGCAAAGGTAGGATAATTACAAAAAAAAATGTGTTAAGCACTGCAATTTGAGGTCGTGAACAGTACAGAACACAAAAGAGAAAAATAATTTGACTTGTCTAAAAAAAAATCTAACATTCCTTTTCTAAAACCAATTTTTTAAAAAAACCACCACCCAACCAAAATTAATTAAATTGAACCAACCAAATTAACCCAAGACAATAAAATCTTTCAAAGCCAAACCAATCAACTAATTTTGGGCATGATAATGTATCAAAAGGAACCGACTGATACATACTGTCAGCTTTATAGTCAGCTTGCACCCCTAAATACTATCTAATGTACTTCATTTACATATAATATATTTTAAGGAAAAAGAGGAAGAGAAGAAGACTCTAACAACATTCCTCGACATCATAACTACCTGAATCTCAACCTCTCCTTTTCAAGACTTGAAAATCAAGTACTATCAATTGGGCCATTGGTAGGGCAGGATAGATAAAGAAATTTCTTTTTTTTTAGTTTAAAAAGGGTGGGGTGATTCGACCTTTTACCTTTAAATAAAAAGTAATGTCTTAATCCGAGAATAGATAAAGAGATTTTATATAAGTTTGTATGTATGTGTGTGTGTGTGTGTGTATAAGAAACCAACTTTCATCCAGAAAAATGAAAGACAAACAAAGGTGGCCTTAGAAAGGCCATGACCAAACCAATAGGGAGCTAAAGAAAATGTACCCAAAAAAAAAAAAGGAATCGTGGTGATAACCATAAAGAGATCATTATTCCTTCGGAAAATCCTTCTTTACAAATTGAGAACCAAGGATTAGTGAACCGCCACAAACACACATGAAAGCCTTCAAATACAACCCATTAGGAAAGTAGATAATTTTTAACTTATATTTTAGTTTCAACCCAAGGAACTTTTCAGTTTCATTCACACTTCAAGAAACCCTAAAGCCTCCCCGAGCACCATGATTGCCACAATGACCATAAAGAGATAATTGTTCCTTAAGGAAATCTTTCGTCTCAAAATTAGAAGCAATGACTAGTGAGCTACCAAAAAATCCAATATTCTAATGGGCAATACTTTCACGGCCTCAACCATATAGAATGTTACTCATCCCAAAGATGATCAGCCAGAAGTTGTAGAAGGCCCAACATATCTATCTAAAACTCCAAATACTCCTCATAAATGAGAGCCCACAAGTCTCAATTGGTTTCTAAATAACCAAAATAGACATCTCTCCCTCATAACAAATTTTTCATGGCAACTCTTTTGTTCTTAACCCACCCATCAACATTCAAACTAATAACCTTCATAAACAACAACCATAGCCCGAGCAAACTAAAGGACACCTTGTTTTTCATGATCATAATTTAACACAGTATTTGTACTTCATAAAAGATTCCACTGATACCATGCTAATTCAATCATAAAATAATAAAACTGTACAACTTGTTATTCTTGTGTACCTCTGCCACCTTCTCTGTCTCTTCGATCAAAGAAGTCCAAGCATTAAAATCTAATGAATTAGCCCTCACAATGTTCCACAGTCTATCTTCTTCAGCAGATAGCGGAGGTACTGCCAAAAAAAGGAGGGAAAATATAAGGCAACAAAATATAAACGAAAAGTTGCGTTTCCTTTTTTAAAAAAAAAACAAAGGACACAAAATATCAAACATAATAAAGTAATTACAGTACTGAAATTGAAAAGAAGTTTAGCAATTGTGTAACATAAATGTGCAAACTACTTTCTTCATATATTTATAATGGTTGAGTTGAGTACAAGGTCTCACCCAGAGGAGCAACATGAAATACGGATTAATGGCTCTTTTTCAAAAAACATGGTATTGAACAAAAAGCCAGAGACAATAATGCGTCAAAATGTGCTTGGAAGCAGTATCTGAGTCATAATAATGACAACTACAAAGCCAAACAAGAAGATGTGCAGCTACAGGGGCCAAATTGTAGGTTTTTCAGGTCCCAGAAGAAACACGTAAATATTTCAAATTTTTTCTATTCGATCACCCATGGTGGCTCTAGAACCAAAGGTAAAGCTAAACTAATGCTAGAAAGTCAAGAAAACTTATTAAGAAGATTTTCTTATAACAGTTTTCTTTGGGAGGTTAGCCAAAAGGCTGTAAACAAACATGATAAGCTCCAACATAGGATGCCCTCTATGGTTTTATCTACACAATGGTGCCCAAAGCGCAAGAAGAACCTTGAGTCACAGCAACATCTCTTCATTTCCCGTGAATATGCTGGTCTTTTTTTGGAATTTTCTTCAATCTAGCTTCGGATGGTATACAGCTCTCCCAAACGACCCAACAATTTCCTCTCTATGGTTATGGGAAATCGTCCTTTCAAAAAGGAGAAAAGGCTTCTATGGATGAATTTTGTAAGAGTTTTTTTATGGGTTACTTGGCAATATCGGAATCACACAATTTTCAAAGGGAAGGAACTTACTTTTTCACCCTTTTTTTACGCTATAGTTCCTTTGGTTATTGATTGGTGTAGATGTTCTCCTCTTTTCCTTTCTTGTAGCTACACTTCTCTTTTGTCCAATTGGAGATCTTTTATGTAACTTCTTCGGATCGAGGTTTCCCTATCTTTTGTAATTTCATATTATCAATGAAATTTTTTCTTATCAAAAAGAAACATTAACCATTTTCAAAAAAATTTATTTTTTATTTTTAACATAAAATATAAATTTGACATTTAGCAAGCTCCTCCTTAAAAAACCTCCCAAGCTGTTTTTTATTTCACACAAAATATGAACTTTCATTGAGTAGTATGGAAGTAGAAGACATGGCTAAAACTACCATGTCACGAGCAGGATCCTATCCTGATGCAAACTGAGAAGGATTTTTTATTAGAATGTGAAAGAGTTGCCTACAAATGAATAGGAAAGCTCCTATTTATAATAAAGGAGCTGGAAACTAGCCGTTAGGCTTATAACTAACTAACAGCTAACAACTTAAGCCTTAACTAACAGCCTAACCGAAAATATGCTTAATAAGACTACATCAGAATTTTTTAACTTGGAAATTAGAACCAAATGGCATCTACACCACTCGCTCCCTCATTAAAGATCTTACACAGCCATGCTCTCCAAAAGGTTTGTACGAAGGCATATGGAGGGACTCATATCCTAAAAAGGTGAAATTCTTCCTTTGGGAACTTAGCCACCGTGCTATCAACACCGGTGATAAACTACAAAGAAGACTGCCTTATATGGCTCTCTCCCCCATTGGTGATGTGTCATTCAAACTTTGAGACCCAACAGCACCTCTTCGTTTCGTCTCCTGCCGCTTTGCAACCAAATTCTGGAACCTCATCCTTAGCACTTTTGGTTGGTACACTGCTCTGTCAACGGATCCCCCTCACCTCATTGAAACTACTCTTAGTGGACATCCATTTAGAAAAGAGAAAGCTCTTATTTGGCAGAATTTTATACGGGCTTTCCTTTGGGTCACTTGGAGAGAGCGCAACCAACGCATCTTTAGCGACAAAACTCTCCCTTTTGAAAAAAATTTTGAAGCTATAGTCCTTACCGTCATTACTTGGTGTAAATCCTCCCCTATGTTTCACAACTATAGCTACACTTCCCTTTTAGCCAATTGGAAGTGCTTCATGTAATCCTCCTTTGAAGCTTTTGCAATTTCATATATCAATGAAATTGTTTCTTTCACAAAAAAAAAAGACTACATCAGAATTCACCCCCTGAAAAATAAAACTTGTCCCTGAGTTATGTTGCCAAAGAAAAACCATCCGAGGCTTCATAGTGTGTCAAATCTGCTACATAAAGATAGGGCTGAAGCTGTATTCTGGGGGTAGCTCAATCTTAAAGGCATTAGGCCCACACTGTTGGAGAATTGGAGAATTGAGAAGGGGCAGATCCTCTTTTTATTGAGCTTATGAAATTTCCCTGGTGGAAACCGACCTTTTCTTAAATAAACCATAACGAGATCACCCGTTTTGAAATCATGTTGCCTTCGTTTGTGATCAGCCTGTTGTTTGAACTTTGAAGTAGTAGCCTCCATATGCTCCCGAACCTCCTAATGCAGTTGCACAATGTGTTCTGCCATTTGCTCTGCTTCTACATTAATATCAACATTGGAAGGTATATTAGTAAGGTCTACCGTTAGACGGGGTAATTTAGTATAAACTACCTCAAATGGAGACTTCCCTGTGGTTCGATTTTTCATGTGATTGAAGGCGAACTCACTTGCGCAAGAGCAAGGTCCCATTGTTTTGGTCGGCTACTAGATAGACACCGAATGAGGTTGCCTAAAGTGCGATTTGTGACTTCCGTTTGTCCATCGATTTGGGGGCGGCTAGTTGTGTTGTACTTGCGCCAAAAGTAACTAAGAAACTTGACATCCCGATCGGACACAATTGTCTTAGGAATTCCATGTAGCCGAACAACCTCTCGAAAAAATAGGTTAGCAACATATACCTCGTCTGAATTCTTTTAACATGCTAAGAAATGGGCCATCTTACTGAATCTGTCCACTACTACAAGCACGGAGTCGAACCCACGTTGAGTTTTTGGAAGACCAAGGATGAAGTCCATCGAAAGGTCTTCCCAGATGGATACCAGGATTCGAAGTGGTGAATAAAGGCCTGTATTTTGGGCTTGCCCTTTATTTGTTTGGCAAATGAAGCAGCAAGATACATAACTAAGAACATCTCGACGTAGTTGGGGCCAATAGTATCGAGAGGACACTAAATTATGTCTTGCCGCGGCCAAAATGACCAGCTAAGCCGCCGGCATGTAATTCTTTAATAAGAGCCTCCCGAAGGGAAGTTCGAGGGATGCACAAGTGGTCATCTTAAAGAGGTACCCATCTAGTAAATGAAAGTCTTTTGTGTTACCATTATTTGTCCAGTGGAGCCAAATATCTTTGAAGTCATCATCAGATTCATATGTGCTTGGTAAGCTTTCAAAAGCTATAATTTCCCCTTGTAGGATAGTTAAAAGCGTTCCTTTCCTACTCAAAGCATCAGCCGCTTTATTGGTAACCCCCGATTTATGTTTGATTACGAAATCAAATCGTTGGAGAAAAGCATGCATTCGGCTTATGTGTTTTTGTGTATTCAAGAACTTCAAAGAAAAGTGGTCAGTGAATAAGATAAACTCCTTGTTAAGGAGGTAGTGCTCCCACTGCTTAAGGGCACGAACTAAGGCATATAATTCTTGCTCATACGTGCTCCAATTTTGGAAGGAAGGACTTAATTTTTCACTAAAATATTCAATGGGGTGGTTATTTTGAGATATGACAGCTCTTATTCCGATTCCTGAGGCATCTATGCTAACTTCAAAGGGTTGAGAGAAATCGGGGAGGGTAAGGACGGGATGTTCTACTAATTTATGTTGGACAGTCTGAAAACTTTCAATTTGACTAGGTCCCCAACAGAATTTCCCTTTTTTTAAACAATGTGTTAAGGGTGCAACCAATGTACTAAAGTTACGTATAAACTTCCTATAAAAGGATGCTATTCCTAAAAAACATTGTATGTCTTTGACAGTTGAAGGAATAGGCCAATTTGAAATAGCTTGCGTTTTCTTAGGATCCATTTTTGAGGTATTTTGTCCAATAATAAAGCCTAAGAATGATAACTCAGTGGTGAAGAAAAGACATTTCTTAAGGTTGATAACTAAAGCATGTTCATATAATGTAGAGAAGACTAGTTTAAGATGATTTATATGGTCGTTTTTGTTTTACTATAGATGAGTATGTCATCAAAATAAACCACAACAAACTTATTGAGGAAGGGAAGAAATACCTGATTCATAAGACGTATGAAGGTGCTTGGAGCGTTAGATAGGCCAAAAGGCATTACTAACCACTCGAACAAGCCTTCATTTGTTTTGAACGTCGTTTTCCACTCGTCTCCTGGTCGAATCCGGATTTGATGGTAGCCGCTTTTGAGATCTATCTTGGAGTAGATAGATGCACCTCCTAGTTGATCGAATAGATCGTTGATACGTGGGATAGGGAACCGATATTTGACTGTAATTTTGCTAATCGCCTGGCTATCCACACACATCTGCCAAGTGCGATCCTTTTTAGGTGTAAGTAAAGCTGGGACTACACAAGGGCTTAGGCTGGGCTGAATATGCCCTTTGTCTAATAGTTCCTGTATTTGATCATGGAGGATCTTGGACTCCCTCGGGCTCATGCGGTAATGGGGTAGATTGGGGAGATGGCACCGGGGAAGAGATCAATTTGGTGTTGAATATCCCGGATGGGTGGCAGATTTGTGGGGGGAGTGGTGAGTGACGGGTATTGGTCTAATAGACTTTGAATATTGGCCTCTATCGTAGTGGTGGTATGATCATGGTTGTTCTCAAAATGTTTAATTACCAAGCCAAGGACTGGGCCATCCTTGTTGGAAAATAGATGTTTTCCTTTAGAAAAATAGAAGAGCTGGCCTTTGTCCTTGGGTTTTGAAGTATGAGAAACTGTTAAGGGTAATAGAACAACCGTTTTCCATCCAGGAAAATTCATATGTATTATCCCTTCCTTTATAAGCTGCCTGAGTATCAAATTGCCAAGGTTGGCCCAAAAGGACATGACAGACGTCCATGTCAATAACATCACAGATTATTTGGTCTTTATAGTTGTTTCCTATGGAAAGGAGCACAGTACATATACTTGTAACTTGTGCCTCCCCTCCTTTTTTGATCCAACTGATCTTATATGGTGTCGGATGAGGAGAGGTTTTCAAATTGAGGGCTGTCACTAGTTTGCTAGAAACTACATTTTCCGTGCTACCACTATCAATGATAACATTACATACCTTGCCATTGATTGTGCAGCGGGTCCTAAAACGGCAATGACGTTGAGGAAAGGACTCTGTTTTGGGTGTGAGTAAAATTCTTTCAAGAATGCATGATAAGGGTTCTCCTTCATCGGGTTGTAAGAACAATCTCTCGTCACACTCCTCTTGATTTAACTCCGGGCTATCTTCCTCAGCTTCATCCAAAAGGTGGATAGCTCGTCGTTGTGGGCAATCATTAGATAGATGTCCTGTTTGCCCACATCTGAAGCATTTCCCTAATGTAGGACGGCTGTAAACATTCCCAGCCTTTTTGGTCATGGAAGTCTCGTTGGCTTTGTTATCATCTGATATCTTTCCCCTAGAAGTAGACGCAGAGGTTTGGTTAATCAGTTTATCAGGTGTAGGGGTTACCTTTTTGGCCGAGTCAGTGAAATTTCACCGTTGGTACTGATTCTTGTAGCGATTAGTGACTTGTTCTTCTATGGTGACAGCTGTGGCAATGGCCTCATCGAGGTATCCAATAGGTTGGATTTGTAGCCGCTCTTTGATATCTGCTCGGAGGCCGCCAATGAATCTTGCCACTTGATATTGGTCATTTTCACCTAGATTGGTTCTTGCTCCTAACCTAAGAAATTCCTCTATATATTCCGCAATGGATCTTGTCCCTTGGCGGCAATTTTGGTATTGATTATAGAGGACCTACTCATAATTGATGGTAAGAAACTGAGCTCTCATCAATTTTTTCATTTTTTCCCACGCCCGGATGGGGTGTTTGCCAAAACGTTGGCGATTTGTTTCCAACTGCTCCCACCAAGCCGAGGCTCCCCCTTTCAATTTGAGGGCTACCAACTTTCCTTTTTTATGGTCAGGGGTGTTCATATATTCAAAAAAAAAAATTTCAATGTTTTTGATCCATTCAAGAAACCCTTCAATATCAAGTTTCCCATCAAAGATGGGTAAGTCAACCTTCATTTTATAGTCTGAAGGTTCTCTTCGATGGGGATGATCATACCGATTGCCATATCGATTAATCTCCCAGGGAGGAATGTCATCTTCATCACTTGAAGAATTGACAACCAAGGCTCTGTTTCGATGATGACCATGCTGTCTATAGGTGGGTTTATAAAATCTGTGGGGTTCTTGATTTTTTTTGGAGGTATACCATGATAATCATTTGGTAAATCATGGTCAGGGTTGGTGCAAGAGACCTGGTGCAAGGGAGGATAAGGAAGTGGTTCTTGTTTGAGGGAGGGATCTTGAAGTGGGATGGGTTCTTGGCGCAATCTTGAAGTTGTTTGCTTAACGCCATCATCAATCTTGATCCCCTTATCGCGAGCCTCCTTCCCCTTGTTGTTTCTTTGTTGTTCTTGATGCAGATGAATGTCATCCAATTTGTAAACGATTGAAAACAAGATCTGACGGATCTCAACCACATTCCTTTGGAGTGTTTCAACAGCTCCTTCAACCACCATTAGTCAGTTGGCTGAGGTTCGTGGAGAGAGGGCGGATATTTCTTCCGTCTCTTTGTCGGCAAGATAAGAATCTCCAATAGCTGAAGTAGGTTTCGTTCCTACCATTGAAAGCCCAAGATTTTTGAAACTCTGATACCAACTTGATGCAAACCGAGAAGGATTTTTTATTAGAATGTGAAAGAGTTGCCTACAAATGAATAGGAAAGCTCCTATTTATAATAAAGGAGCTGGAAACTAGCCGTTAGGCTTATAACTAGCCTAACTAACAGCTAACAACTTAAGCCTTAACTAACAGCCTAACCGAAAATATGCTTTATAAGACTACATCATATCCCTTGCAATAAATTCTCTCGACACTCTTCAAAAGAAAGAAGCATTTGCCATCCGACGTGACTAACTACTTAAAAAAGAAACTACACTGCCATCGGGAAACAAATTATCCAGATACAGAGTACACTAAATTACTAATCACTTTCTTTTACAAAGTAAGAATACACTCCTTTTTAGCCACAAACAGTGTCTATGCGGTACCCAGATACACAAGATCCATCATAGGGTAGAACAATCTATTCAACGGAATTCAAATTCAAGTTCTTTAGGAGCATTGATCGAAATGAATGTCTTTTTTCTATCAGAAGCTTACTATTAAGTTTTAAGTGTCTAGGCTAGGTCCCTCTGATGTTTATTTAAGACTATACACATATTTTTGGGTTTCTCCTCTTCACTCATATTCTTCTTGTTATATAGGTTAATATTTGTTCAAATGCTTATTGCCCAATGAAACTCTTGTAAAAGTACAGAAAACTAAAATAAGATACACATACCAGAAGAACCATCAACAAAGTGTTGTTCCTCAGATGCCTCGCCGGCATTCTCATTAACATTTCCATTCTCAAGTGATGACGCATTGACTTCTTCGGCAGCAACACTTCCATTTAAAGAAGTATCACGACTGACAGCTTCAGCAGTTTCCATTGCTGTATTTTCTGATACATCAGCATTCTGAGTATGATCGGTCCCTACAACAGCTGCCTTTGTCTCGTCCACTTCACCAACATGATTTCCTTGGTGAACAGAATTGGGATCCGTAACATAAGCATTTCCATCCCCCATATCTGCAGAGGTAGATGAAACAGAAAAGTCTGCAGTGGTCACAGATTGAAAAGCGCCGGCATGAGGAATTAGATTCGAACTGCTATCTGCATAGCCACTTGAAACATATCCAGCAGATGTATATCCCATGACTTGAGATGTTTGGGCAACTACAGTTTCAGTGTCCCCCATGCTTAAACTACAGAACTATATCTTTGATAGCCTAACTGCATGCATTTAAACAACTATCATAGAATTGACGATGAGGGGGGAAAATAACAAAACCCAGAGAAAAGGAAGTGGCCTTTAAAAATGCAGCTCGAATCAAACAATGATACCCAACGTAATCCCTGGACACATGTGCCAAAAAAAGAGGAAAAAAAACAGAAGAACTGCGGTACCCTTTCCGAGTGAGTGAGTTCCGAAGAATTGAGTGTGGTGTGTATGCCAGTTCAAAGTTAATCCATAGATTATGCAGATGAATATGCACTTAAAAATAACCTCTTCCGGGTTGAAGTCGAAATGAAATCTTGTTTCATATGTAAAACATCACAGCACAGTATATAAAAAAACTATAAAAAATAAAGAAAAAGTAAGAGAATGAGTTGAAGAATATGGAAAGGCAGACACATAAATTGGAAAAGTGGTGGGGAGAGAGGGAAAATATGCTAAATCGGAATGGATGACACATAAGAAGAGAGTAAGGAGGAGAAAATGAAGGAAGAAGAGTTACCGGAAGCGAGAAGAGTTGTGTTGTTGTGGAGAGTGGATAGTTGTGGAAGGGAAGGGAAGGGAAGGGAAGGGAAGCGCAGCCGCAGCGCAATTGAGAAAAGGCCTTGATTCCCTCGAGATTGGGAAAGCCGAGGCCGAGGGCAAATCAAATCAATGCTGATGAGATTACCGTTTTCCACTGTAAATCGGCCCAGCCCGATCCCAAACCTTTGCCCTATACCCTATTACCATTATACCCTCCCCTCCAAACTATCAAATACTTTTCAATTCCTTCTTTTTTTTCCTTGAAAGAAATGAGTGAGATGTCTTCGTCTTCAACGCTAATCTATGTTGGTGCGTTCCTTTTGAATTCATCTAAACGTGTTTTTCAAAAAATTAGTATTGTTTTGGTTAAATTTTTAAATACTTCTTGGTGTATAAATTTAGCTTCTAATCGAGTCAAATTCACACCCATTGTTAATAACAAAAGGGAGAATTGTCRTCGACTTGCAAAACCAATTGCTAACCACTTCAGATGCTCAAGTTAGTATCGGAAATAATCTAAGTAGATAGAATAGGGTTTTTTTGCATACCTCTATGGTTTGGTTTCCCCTTCTATTTATAGAAATCGAATGTGAAATCATGCCTTATGGGCCTATGCAATTTGTAGCGGACCACCGATTAGATCGTGGTGTTGTTGGCCCATTTGGGAGTTTCACCAAGACAAATATGTTTGGGCTGAGTTGCACGGGACAATCAGAGAGGCCCTGTCGGAGTTCTCGATCGGCGCTGAGCCCAAGTCRACTCTAGTCGATCTGGTCCACTCGACTTCATCTAGCTTTGTTTGTATATTTGGGCCTTCTTCTCATTCGAGCCAATTTTGGCTTCTTATTGTTTTGTCGAGCCTCGTTTGATATGCGTGTAACACTACTTAAAATCACTTTTTAAAACTTGTTGGGATAAAAGATGGAGAACAGCGCACAACCAAACGACGGGACAAACTAGCCCGATGCACGACCTGTAGACAAGACTCGTCATCGCTCCACATAACAAGCACTCAAGTCACTACAGCTCGACCATCGGGGCCGAGTTTGCTAAAGAAAGGCTCGATGAAGAAGTTCAACCTCACGCATCTCGGCCTCGTCACCTTGCCAGTCATCTAAACCATCAGTAGGACCTTGTCAAGTATCAAATACACAATTTATGTCCTTCGTCTCTGCTAACATTAACTTAAGCATCKTAAGGTGGTAGGTTGGCACCACGTAGTGTCTCTTCGCTCTCCATTTGTGTAGGTCGCCATACTTCCCGATTTCCAAAACCAAAATCTTGTCTTTCCTCTGTTCACTATATCCGTTAGGTCAATTTTTATTCGTTCAGTTCAATTCGTCTCCAAATTTACGCTTCAACAAAGCTCTTTATAATAAAGATTAGTTTGAGAAGTTCTAAATAAGGCAACGTATGACACTTTTAGTTTAACTTTTTTTTTCCTCACAATACTTCCAAAATAAATGTTTCACTTGCTACCATTCTAAAAGTTAATTACTCTAATTCATATACCTTTGATCGTTGAACTCAAAACACATTAAAGAAGGAAAAGAAAAGGATGTGAATAACTAGTGGCTACCACATCGTGAACTTTTTATTGATAGTAAAAAAATTTCAAATTCTAACCTCACAATTGTAATATTAATATTGTCCCAATAAAATAAAGTACAGTTTAAACATCAGTAAATGTACCTTTCAACTTTGTTTTCACATCTAAGTGTGAGTATGACGTGTTTTATAAAAACCTGTTCTGAAGTGAAGTACTTGTAAAATAAAATTAATTAAATGGTTGAAAGTAATTATATACTAACCATGCTCGTTTATGCGTTTTGGCGAAAATATATGTTTATTTGAAGCTATATTTTTTTATTAAAAAAAACTTTGACCTAAGCGAATTTCTACCTTAATAACATAACCTCTAAAGTTCGAGTCCATATTATTGCCTTTGTAATCTTGTATTGTAAAAATGAATAAATAAATGGTATAAAAATAGTTTTAGTATTGTTTTTTTTTCTCTAACCAAATAGTTTTAGTATTGCGATTAAATTTTTTAAAAGCTCATAAACTAATGTTGAAAATTTTAATAATTGCCAAAACGAGCATAGCTCAATGATAATTAACATATATCTCAAACCAATAAGTTGTTAGTTAAGTACTTGATGTGGCATCAAATATTTGTCAATCCAAAATTAATGATAAAGGAAACCTCAACATAAAATATATCATCTAAATTTTATTTTTTCCATTATTATTTTCTTTGTAAGCTTTTCATATATGTTAATATTTGTTGATGCAGAATGTTGACTTACGAGATCTCACCAAATTCGCACTAGTCTTTAACAATAAGAAGGGATGTGACATCAACCTGCAAAACAAATAAATATGAACACCGATGTGGTGCCACATAGGCTCCAATACTTGTGTTATAATTTGAAGTTGACGAAGGTAAATAGTAGAGTTATTCAACGTACCTTTAGGGTTTAGCCTATCATTCTATTTATAGAGGTTGAATCCTTTTAAGAAACATAGTCTTTTGGGCTTGAGCACCTTGTTATGGGGTGGATGTCGGATCGCGGAGTTGTTGGCCTGTTATAGGATTTTACCGAGACGAAACAAGTTAGGCCTACCTTTACCAAACCATTGGAGAGCCTTTGCCAGAGTTCCCAACCGGTAGTCAAGAACTGGACGGCTTCGGATCTTAGTTGTTCGCATGAAAATTCTCGTAGAATCGATAATGAAGTTTCCATTATGTGTTGGGTCTTGGCTTTCCTGCTGGGTTCCTACACTTGGGTCTTTTCACCTCGATCCCAATTTGAGTTTCTTGTAGTTTTGTTAGATTCAACTTGATCTTCCCATAACAATTGTCCCCACTCTCCGAGTTGTGATTTACTAGAAATGTACTGACTACTTTTAGAGTATATTTATTCAATCGGGCCTTGGATGTATATTTTCTAATAGTTGGAGTAGAAATCCACTAGCCCATTTCGGATGCTCAAATAGGTAACATAGGGGAATTTTTTCAAAAGTTGGAGGGAATTGTGATTCGTGTGGTTGGACCCTCGTGAATCACATGAAACCACTTAATTGTGGCTCGGTCAGACCTAAAATTGACCAGGGATTCCCCTAACCTAGTCGAATCCAGTTCCTTTTTCGGACAAGTGTGTTTATGCAAAAAAAAGTGACGGGGTATGATTTGGTCAAGATCGGCCACATGGAAGAGCTCGACTTGCTCCAGGTATGACAGTCGAGAGAGCATGACCTGCTTCAGGAATGACCGCGGGAAGAGCTTGGATATCCTTGGAAAGGGATGACCAGCTTAAAGGGTCAAGGTCGGCTGAATAGGAAGAACTGTGTCAGGAATGAGCTGAAAGGCCACTTGGCGAGGAAAGACTTGCACAAGGAACAAACACTCCGATGCTCAAGTCAGTTTTGAGTCTGACCTTAGTATGGAGGCCGAGCTAGAATACGATACCTGACTGAAGGCCGAGCTAGAATATGATACCTGACTGAAGAGTGAAGTGCCCTATTTATAGGCTGAGGTACCCGACAAGGACTTCGACCAACGGTTGAGCATGTCGGGACCAAGGTCGGCCTATCGAGAGTAGCTATTCCAATTCATACTTTGTCATCTGGAATTTGGCTCTAAGTATGGAAGGTCGTTCCTCCTTTGAATGATCTCCAGGGAAGACCTTCAGATCAGTCTTTAGATAATGCCTCAGGTTGGCCATTAGGCAAGACTTCAGGTCGGCCCTCAGGGGAGCTCTTCAGGTCGGCCATCAGGTAAGGCCTTCAGGTCGGTCCTTAGAGGAGCTCTTCAGGTCGGCCACCAAAAGGAAGATCTTCAGGTTGGCCACTTCAGGTCGGCCACCAAAGGGAAGACTTCCAAAGTTGACCCTTTTCTGTCCTCCATGTGGCAGTACGATTTTCAACCCCCAAACAAAGTGGTTTATTGGTTTAGGACCATTGATTCGAGACCTTCTCGAATTTCTTTTTTTTTTCCACCTAAATCCTTCACATTTCCTTTATTGACACACTTTCTTGTTCATTTCTTCTATCTTTTTGTCTTCCGAAAGGTTATTTGCTATGTTCTTTCTTTCGTCATTGACTCCTATGGAGTCCTATGGTAGCTTGCACATTTGATGAACCACTTCAAATGATTAGTTTTTCTTCGATCCATCGTATGAGGCCAAACATTAATGTTAATTATTTAATTTAAAATTGAATTTGAATTAATAATAATAATAATAATAAATATGAAAATGGACCAATTGATCATTGAAATATAATTGAATAATTTGGTCATCTTTAGGTCAAGTTCCTTTTGGAAATCTAATGGGATACTTTGGTTGGTCTCATGTAATAGTCCCAAACCAAATCCATAAGATGTAAGCTAAACATTAATTAAGAAATTAATATATTCTTAATGTCAATAATTAATAATTGGCCCATTAGATTTTGTCCATTGATGAGCCAAACCCCTGGTAGAAAAGTCATGAGAAACTCACTTTTCTCCCCATAGTCATTATCTCCCAAATAGTGTCCACACATTCTTGTAGATCGAGGATATCAGGAAGATCAGTTCAGTCCAAATATTTTGTCATATGAAGAGGTAAGAGATTCGATCCCATATTATGTTGTTTTAATTAAACTTTACCACTGGATCTACTAAAACCGATTTCTAGCACGTGCTTCCGATGTGTTTGGCGGCCAGTTCTGTTCCGATTCCAACAAAATCTTCACTGGACTCGCAAAGATCCATATATATATAACCCACACTATTTATCATAACTCATTTCAATAAATCTTTTATGGTACGAAAGTTTAGACAACTAAAATAACATAAATTAAAAGAATTTTACAACTACAAATAAACACAATAATCTATAATCTATGTGAAAACTACAAACCAAATAAAAACAATGACCACGAACGGAATATTCAAATGTGAAAATTTATTACAATTACACAAAATTTTATCATTGGCCGCACACAAAACACTCTTATCAAAATTGTATACCACTTATAGTTAGTATACAATTACAATTACACAATTACAAAATTTATTACAATTACACAAAATTTTATCATTGGCGCACACAAAATACTCTTATCAAAATTGTATACCACTTATAGTTAGTATACAACCTTGTTTCAATCGGAACGAATAAAACTCAAAGTCATGAACCATTTATATAGAACTTGGAGCGTACCTAGTCACTATGTCTTTTGATGCGAGATAAATACTCTTCTAGTATTCTGCTAAACACCTTACATAAATATGTTAATAAAAAAACCATTTAACCACACATAACTCTGTATTAACAAAATCTAACAACAAAATCTAATTGAGAATTTTTAGTTTAAGAAATCTTTAAAAGTTTAAAACATGAATTTGAGAAGGGTACATAATATTATAAATATATTTAGTTAATATTATTAGTCAACTTTGAGTATAATAAACTCAGTTTGTATTGCCACGAACATAACTCAGCAGAACATCTTATTTAGTTTGTTGGCGTCAGATGTTGAAATATCTCACACTCAATGTACTAAGGAAATTAAATTGTACCAAGCCACGGGTACAATTTAGTAGATGAGACCTTGCTCATTTTCTTAGGTCAAAAGTTCAAATTCTATATTTATATTTAATTAATCTTCAACTCTTTTAATCGAAGATATTTTAATTAATTTATGTTGATAGATATATGTCTTAGCTTTGTACTAAAAAAACTTAATTGTATTGGATTGCACTGTTCTAAATATCCGTCGACATTTCCATCAACATATCCATGTTTTTATGGGTTCGATATTGACATGAGAGGTGAATCGACATTTCTATCATAGTATAAGAAAATTGACAAAATACGAAAAATATCAACAAAATGTCATTAATATATATAATATTAATATTAGTTATTTTTAACTGAAAGTGTTTATTTGATAATTTAAATATTTTTTACGATTTTTTAATGTTACCATTTTTTACAGAAATATCATCAACATCCATATTTGTATGAAACCGAGGCCTCCGCATTTCCGTCAACGTTTGGACACGTAGTAGAATCGTTTTGGTGGTGCTGTAAGGATTTTAAATGAAGTAAGTATACTTCTTAACTTACCGACTCCTGTTCCGGTGGCTTCACTTCCAGTGTTTCAAAGGCGGGCGATTTTAACGCAGTGAACGTGAAACAAAGGCCTCCCTCCGTATTCTTTCACATTTTTGTTTCACTGGTCTGTAAATTTTCCATTTTATTCTCCTCCTCGTTTTTCTCCACCAGGCCGCTCAATTTCAAAATTTTCTCTCCCTTTTCCTTCTCGCCCGCTTACTGAATGCGCTGTTTCCTGTAGTCCATTTCCCCATTTTCGCTTCTTTCTTGCTGTTGCTTCCCCTACCAAATGTGGGAAGAAACAACAAACCTTGGGACTCAATTTCAAACTACTACTCATTTTAATCCCTCCTGCATTTATTTTTCAGCTCTTGCTCGTTTCTTGCCTTTTCTTTTGCTGTGTTCGCCTTCGCCCGAATCAATCTCCAACGTTTCGCGTCCCTCATTTCAGTTTTCTTGGTAAGTTCTTCGCCCCCGATTCTTTTACCTACTTGGGGTTTAGGGTTTTTGCGCTTCTGGGATTTCATTGACAAATTTCTGCTTCTCATTTCAACCCGCGCGGGTAACGATCAGGATACTGCCACTTAATTTTTTGCATGCATTCTTACATTTCATGTTCTTTCACTGTCTGGTTATGTATATCTACTTTCTACTTCTTGCCCTCCCCCCTTTTAGCTAACTGGCGTGTGCCGAAGAATTTGGTTTTGCTGAAAAAGTCAAAGGAGAGATATGAGCTGGGGGATGATGAGAAAATAGAAAATCTTTGATGCAAATTGTAATAATTATCTCACACTAACAAGAAATAAAAATTATTTGGAGTTTCATATTGCCGAGAACAGATTGCGTCTCTAGCTGTTGATTTATAAAATAATCGTCTACTTGCTATCGATCCAGAAATACAATTTCTCTCACTACTAGTATCTTTGTCTCCCCAGGAACCATTAATGTATGTTTGGCAATACTGCATTCAAAATTATAAAACTGTTTTTGATAAGAGTCCTTACTATCTGGCATAAAAAGTAGTAGTTGTTGGTAACCTACTTAGAATTTAACATCATGGGAGTTACCTTGACAACCGTATATAGTAGGGTCAGGCGGTTGTCCTGTGAGATTAGTCGAGGTGGGTGCAAACTGGCTCGGACACTCACGGATATAAAATAAAAAAAGTAGTAGTTGTTGATATTTATTTATTTACTGTTTTCAACTTATTTTGCCGTAGATCATTGGTTTTAGTTTCTTTTATTTAACAGACTCGATGAATAATGTTTATGGATACAACTGGGGCACTCGACTGGCCTGGAGAAAAATTTCAATTAGTCTCACCCCATACTTAAGTTATGCCCCAGACTGTATAGTTAATTGGAAGTTTAACTTATTCAGTTATTCTTAGACTTTCTATGTTTTCTCAACCCTCCGCCTTTAGGTCGTTCTCTTTTGGACCCTTTGACTTTTTGAATATGTAGTTTCCATTTCTTATCCCAAAAAAAAAAGTTTAAATATTTAAATATTTAAAAATTTTGAACATTACATTACTATGACATCATGGCCAAACTTTCTCTTTTCGGTAATTTGGTGCTGGGATACTCATCAAATAGTTCTAAGCAGTCCTTTGAAACTTTTGAGCCTATGACCTCAAAAACATTTGCATTTGGCGGCTTGCTTAACCAGGGGGACTACTGGTTGTTGATAGTGTGGCCAAACAAAGTTTCGAAATAAAATTATGTTTTTGTTGTTTTTCTTATTATAATAAATTAGTAATATTTATGAATTATAAATAAAAAAGGCTTCTAGTATCCGTTACCTTAGAATCGTAGTTCTCTTCTTTTTGTTCCTAATGTTGAAAAGTTGCTTATAGACGTGTTTATATTGCTATCCAGGAGTGTTTTTGATATTTTGTTTGATGTTTGGAAAAATGGATAACAATTCCTACTATTACATAAACTAAGTCTTACTGAATAATCTTGTTACAGTATCTTTCAATAGTTCTGTGTCCACGTATTGTTGCTGTCCGGCTCCTAGTCTAACATGCAATGAAAGGGAGTAGAGAACATTTCAGTTTTAACAAGTAAAGTTTATGATAGAATAATATCTTTTTCTTCGTAAGTATTGAAAATAGGAATTTAATTGGTTGCTATGGAAATTTGCATTGGGTTTGATGTTTTAATATTGCAGATTGGCAGTTCTAGCAAATTTTCAAGAAGTATCTGGAAGGAGATATGATACATACTGGTAGGATGGAAGGAAACTTATAAATACTCTATTGAAGAACGCAAGAGTCTTTTGTGGTCAGGGGCCTTATTTGCTTTAAATGTAGGCAGTTTTGTCTTCTAGGAGTGGACAAAATATGGCACCGAATCCTAAGATTTCAAAGGCTTTTCGTGCAATGAAGGATATTGGGATCAGTGAAGATAAGACAAAACCAGTCTTAAAGAAACTTCTAAAATTGTATGACAGAAACTGGGAGCTTATTGAAGAAGAGAACTATAGAGTTCTTGCAGATGCTATATTTGACGAGGAAGATAGTAAGGTACATTCTTTCTCTACTGTACTTCTTGAACTGAATCTTTTTCTCTTTTTGCTGTGTTTCTTATCCTCTCATATGCATCATCTTACAGGTTATGGAGGAAAAGAAATGTCAGAATACTCAGGTATGTAACTCATTATCTTTCTTTGTTATTCTGACACTCTTTGTTATTGTGCTTATATTTGCTGTCTTCCTTTGTTTTTCTTAACAATAGGTGGAGGATTTTGGGGAAGATGTTCAGGCGGCTGATGAGCCAGAACGCCCTCTGAAAAGGTTGCGCTTAAGGGGCCAAGAAGCCCAATTGGATGGGATGGCCTTAAAAAAGCCCAAATTGGAAGAGGATGGGCTTCCGGAAGCTTGTCCCCAACAGCACATGCAGTTAAGTGTGCCTAAGAGATCTGAGACTGATCCAAGTCCTTCTCGCCGTGTAGATAAAGGAAAGGAGCCTGTATCACCAAACATGGTTGCAAGAGTGAAAAATTCTAACGTAGATAGACCATCCACTGCTGTGCGTATTAAGGAACCAGCAGCTGAGTCATGTGTTAAAAATTCCAAAGTGAGGGCATCTGGGGCTCTTTCATTGCTCAAACCTAAAGATGAGCCATTTACGGATGACATATTTACCAATGAGTTGCCAATTGCTGCGATTCATCCAGGTCAACAGACACTTTCTTTAGATGTAGATTATTGTTATTTGGCTTCAAAATTGCAGTATCTTGTCGTTTGATGGTTTTAAGGGAGTCTCGTTCTGATTTGAGCCAAAGATTGGTATTTGATAATGTAATTAGAGTTTAATTGAAATGAAAATTAATTAGAATGCAATATGTGATAATGAAGACTACAAAGCTTTAAAACTAGACATTGGGATTAGAATATATAAAATTTCATTGCTGTTACTACTCACCTCAGGAAAGAGAGTAAAGTATAAGTTAAATATTGCAATACCTTACATGGTACACGTTTTACTTCAATCTATTGTAGTTATTTCGTGTGCTCTATCCAATTGGTCCAAATGAAGGATTGGAATTCAACTTGAGTTTAAATGGAAGACAAAAACAATTTGATTATTCAAGAAATACATTCAAATATTCGGATCAGTGATGTATTGTTGTAATYAATATATGTTATGGTAAAACCCTACTATAAAAATAAAATTATGAATTTAGGTATTATGTAAAAAAAAAAAAAAACAGTTGAATAAATGGTAGAAGATACTCGTAATGCAAGAGTGAAATTAATTGAAACTACAGGGAGTAAGAGATTGCTAAAAATGTTGAAATCAATGTTTATCAGTTTCGAGTCCCTATAAGAATGAGAAGAACATTTTGCTAATGAAGGCAAGCATGTAAGAGTGATGTACCGTGAACTCTGCAAGTGCACATTATTTCTGACTACTGGATTATTTTCCTGTGTGATAATTTTAACAGATTCTTCAAGAAAAGAAGATTGTTCTATTGCAAACGTTTCAGTTAGGAAGCCAGATGGTCAAGTTGCTCAAGTGTCGAATCCTTTAGATGGAAGTAACAAAGGTGATGGTACGGGAACCTTATCATGTAATACAGGCAGTGAGCTTGCAATGGTCACGGAAGAATTACATCCTAACTTAGAGATTGCATCATCACCCCTAGGAGAGGTAAAAATTTCTTTGTGCTGCGACTCCACTTTTGGACGACCAGATTTCCGTATGCCTAGTCGTGATGCAGTTATTAAATATATGGAGGAAAAATGTCTGCAGTCATATAAAATCATTGACCCCACGTTTTCTGTTATGAAACTGTTGAGTGATATGTGTGAGTGCTTCTTGGAATTGGGAACTGATTCTCCTGATGACCAACAGGAAGGATCAATAAATAGAATACCACTTCTAGATGTTATGAAGAATTCAGACCCAATGGATTCTTCAGGGACTGTTGCCAATGAAGGAAATTTGAATCCATCCACTTCCGTGAATGAACCAGTCAGTATAATCTCTGATAGAGTACTTCCGCAAGATTCTAGTGTTTTACAATCATCAAGTATTTCCAATGACCAGACTATCCACGAAACCTCTAAAAGCAGCAAGGAAATTTCAAATGGTCATTCTGAAGATGAAGCCAGGAAGGAATTTGATAATCTTGAGGCTGCAGATCCACAGAATTTGATGGTTGTTTCACAGTGTCAACAAGCTTCTGATGAATTAAGCTTCTCTCACGATGTGGATGATATAACCAAGGGAGAAGAAAGGGTTCAAGTCTCTTGGGTGAATGAAATTAGTAAAGAGCATCCACCATTATTTCACTATATACCTTGCAGTCTTATTTTCCAAAGTGCTTTTGTAAATTTCTCTCTCTCTATGATTGGTAATGATAATTGTTGCCAATCTTGTTTTGGAAATTGCCTTACATCGTCTGTCCCTTGTGTTTGTGCACGGGAAACTGGGTCCAAGTATGCATACACATCAGAAGGTCTTGTTAAGGAAGATTTTTTGGAAGAGTGGATCTCTCTTACTCGTGACCTTCGAGGAAACCATCAGTTCTATTGTAAAGAATGTCCTCTTGAAAGGTCAAAGAATGATGATTGTTTAGAACCTTGTAAAGGCCACTTAAAGAGGAAGCTAATAAAAGAATGTTGGAGTAAGTGTGGCTGCAATAAGCATTGTGGAAATAGAGTGGTGCAGCGAGGCATAACTTGCAAGTTGCAGGTATGGTTCAATTTTTTTTATTATTATTATTTTTTTGTTTAGTTTAGTATTTTGTGTTGTTCAGTTTTTTGCTTCTTCGTCTTCTTGCGCTTCATATGAATGTATAGTTCATACTATTGTATAGTTCATAATATAATTTCATTATGTCGTGCACAAGATCCATGAAATTTTCTTCTACGTGCTCTTCTGGTTAGTTGTTGATATTTACTTATTTGGTAACTTAAAGGACTGCCTAACTGCATTTTTACTTTCAATATGTCGCCTTCACTTTCTAGATATTCTGGTTTTCTATTAAAAGATTAAGAAACAGATTATCAATATCAACACAATTTGGTTGTAGCATATGTTTGAAGGCATTTCTCTGTTTCAGGTATTTTTTACTTCTGAAGGAAAAGGATGGGGCCTTCGAACCCTTGAAGACTTACCTAAAGGCTCTTTTGTTTGTGAATATGCTGGAGAGATATTAACCATCTCAGAGATGTATCATAGAAAGGTGCAAAGCGCCAATAATGGGGAGCATACCGACCCAGTTTTATTAGATGCTTTTTGGAATTCAGAAGGGCCTTTAAAGGATGAAAAAGCTCTCTGTTTGGATGCAAAAAACTTTGGGAATGTTGCCAGATTTATTAATCACAGGTATTTGTTTAAACTTTATACAGTTTGAGCTTCCTTTATCCCTTACTTTCCCCCTTTTGCCCATGTTTCTACTCTTTGCTGGTGATTTCATTGCTATACTCCTTGTACTAATTTCTTTTTCAAATTTAAATGGGAACAATAGTTTCTTACTTTATGGCTCCCTTTGTCATTACTCTCAAAATCATTTTCTATTTTCAGATTTTCTTTTTCTTTTTGATTTCTGGAAGTTGTTCTTATTGTAAATGTTTTTTTTTCCGATAAGAAACATTTCATTTATGAGATGAAATTACAAAATGATGTGGGAATGAAGCTCCTATCCAAAGGAAATCACATAAAACTTTTCTAATAGTATTCCAATGGGCTATGAGAGGAGAAAGGCAATAGTTACAAAAATAAGGAGACAATTTATTCCATGTTAGAGCCAAGAAAGATAATGGTTTGAAAAAACTATGAAAGCATCACTCTTTTTCTTTAAAGATACGAGCATTTCTTTCATGCCAATGGATTAGAAAAAAAGCTCTTTGAGAAATTGAGCCAAAGGATCTTCTTTTCTTCTTGAATTTGGTGACCCGGGAGGTAAGGGATGGGAAATGGTAGGAATCCTCTGGGAGCACTAGAGACCGAAGTAGATGCGATGAATCTCCAATAGGTAGTTGCATAAGTACATGTGGTGAAAAGGTGCCTTTGTGTTTCTATGTTGCCTTTCCAAATGGAACAGCAGTTGGGGGAAATGTACAGCCAAAGAGATCTTTTTGCAGCAGCTTAGTTTTGGGGTTTAAATATCTCCTGGTAAAAAAATTCATGGGATATTTAGGATCTATGACTATGAACCATCATGGTTTGATTTAATGGTCAATAAGGGTCAATGTAAATAGTAAATAGCTTGGAGTGAATGAGTTCAAACCACAGTGGTCACATACCTAGAATTTAATATCCTACGAGTTACCTTGACAATGAAATGTAGTAGTGTCAGACATTGTCCCATGAGATTAGTCGAGGTATGTGTAAGTTGACCCAGATACTCACAGATATAAAAAAAAGAAAAAGATGATCTATGATTACGTGGTTTGCTCTAGTTTAGAACCTGGTGAACATTTAGTGGTCATTGCATCTCTAGGTTTAAAAAGAATCATGTTTAATGGGTGCCAGAAGAAAACTTGAATTTCTCTCTTAGTGAACATTGTGTATGAGCTGGTTGAGTGAAAAAGGTTTCCCAGAAGTGCCACTAGTAAGTTGAAACAATTATGTTGTCCGTATATCTGTAAATTTTGCTGTAACTCAAGCAAAAACTTGCTAGACAAGTGTTTGTACATTTGTTGATCTAGTTATGTGAAATCTAATTGCTTGTCTTTTCAAATTTATCAGATGCTTCGATGCAAACTTGGTTGACGTTGCAGTTGAGATAGAGACTCCAATTCATCATTATTATCATGTAGCGACTTTTACAAGTTTCACCTTTCTCTTAATCATCATTTTTGGATACAGTTGTTCTTTCTCTACCATAGTGATACAACTTATTCAGTTCTTTTCCTCTTTGCAGCTTGCCTTATTCACTACAAGAAAAATAGATGCCATGGAAGAGCTAACTTGGGTTAGTGAATATTGTTTTTTCAGAATTGTGGTTTGGGATTGTTTGAATAAATTTTTATGACTTGGTAAAATTTTACCTGTTCTTTCCTCATAAGTTATAACTAAGGGTAAAGGTCACAATGAGAGAAATCTCATTCTATCCTTTATGTATGCCTATTAGGTTTATAGATGTAAAGTAATGAGGTAATATAATGCGTATTAGCTGTAAGAGTTTCTGCAGTAGTTGTTAAATTACCGTACTCCAATGGTTCTGGCTGTATAGAATAATGTACCTGTTCCTCCTGTTGCTTCCCTGGGCATTATTCTTTATCAGGTTTGTACTTTTGATCTCAAGTATTTTTAAGTGGTGATGATGCATCCATTTTTGTTGCCTTTTGGGCCAGTTCTAAATTATTAATTCTAAAACATGGTTCCTCATTGTACTTTCTGGTAAATTTGTGATTTATGCCCTAAAATATTGTTCCTTGTAAAGGGATGGTGCACAGTAGGACCTTTCCAATTCAAATTTGATCATTAGGAAGTTGATAAATTTAACAACTGTTAGGTTGTTTCGTCTTCTAGGAGATGGATTAAAGTCAAATCTTGCTTTTAGATTAATAATATCGAGTTGTTCAAATTCATAGGAGGTGTTGGGAAGCCTTAATAAGGAGTCAAGGGACCAATGGTCGAGAGGGCTATGTTCAAGGGGTAGTATCATGAATTCTTATTTGGAGGAAGGCTAGAGTAATTAGGACTAAGGAAGGTGATAGTAACCATTTCTTTTGTACGACAGAATTGCTGGTTCTAAGAATGGGAGGAATTTAATTGGAATTTTTTTTTCTTTTTTTTTTTGTTTCTCTTCTTCTTTCTTCTTCTTCAAATCCTCTTATTAGACTGTTATTTTTCAAGTATATTCTTCCATTTTTCTCGATGAAATCTCAGTTATTTCATAAAATAAAAGTTTAGTTATGTAGAGAGAGTTCCTATTGCTATTCTCTTTTCCTTACAAGGCTCCCCAAGATCCTTTGCTGTTATTGGACGGTATTGGAAACTCATTAGAATTAGGGTTAGGGAGTTTGAAGGCCCCTTTAACTTTGGGAAAGATCTAGAGGGCGGTCTTTAGTTTTGAGGGTTTTAAAGCTCTAGGAAGAAACATAAGCCTCCTTGCTAAAAGGCGCTGGAGATTCGTGAATGAGAAAGAAGCTTTATGGAGGCTGATCATTGCAAGTATATACAGCCTTTCAAATGAATGATGGGTCCCTACCCTTAAAGGTTCCATGCATTTCAAAGGCCCCTGGAGATCTATTGTCAAATGCTGTAGCCTTGTAGCCTAGTGGATAATGGGTACAAGTTGAGACTTGGCAGGGGAGACAAAATTCGGTTTTGGGAGGATTATTGGATTGGTGATGCTACGCTCAATCCTCATTTTAAGACTCTACAACGTGGTTAATTCTAAGGGAGTTAGTATGAGCCAATGTTGCTAATAGGCTCCAAATGGCTGGAACTTGTTCTATGGAAAGAACCTCACCAACTTAGAAAGCAGAGGATTAGGGGATTAGGTTGCTTGATATCATAAGTCCTACAGGCCTTCTACCGAGGAGGATACTGAAGGGTGAACCCTCAGTATAGGTGAAGGTTTTTCTTTGGGTATTTCATTCAAGGAAAGTTGATTATGAGATCATCTGGAAGGTTGATATCATCCAGAAGCTCAATCCTCATCCATTTTTGTTGCCTTTTGAGATCATCTGGAAGGTTGATATCCCCAAAATAGGTGAAGGTTTTTCTTTGGGTATTTCATTCAAGGAAAGTTGATTACTTGCAATTTGTTGCAAAGGAAAAGCCCAATCCTTCTACAATTTTTGTCACTCACTCTCTAAAAGTGTGTAACCAAACCAAACGTTTAAGATAACTATATAAAAATCACTTTCACAAAATCAATTACCATTAAATCTCTTTTGCTGAAATCACTCATTCTAAGATTGTACACAAACAGCCCCTAAATGCTGCTTGAAGTGATTCTTTAGAATTTTTATTACCATGTGATAATTCTTTGGACCGTTAAAGAATCTTTACTGATATGGTTGCTCTACCTGTAGGATTATGGCATCGATTTTGATGACCTTGATCATCCTGTTAAGCCATTTCTCTGTCAATGTGGCAGCAAGTTCTGCAGAAATATGAAACGATCTTCTAGTAGGTTCTTTCTCTTCTTTTCCATTTTCCCCTCTTATATTGATAGAACTGGCCCGTCCTGGTTTATTACTGTGTGAACCTTGTGTTTGATGTTTGCTGCTGCCGATCTTGTCTATTTAGTATGTACTGCTTCTTTGGTTCTGGAGTCAAAATTTATGCTTCCCTACCCTTTCCATCAATCAGAGAAGTATAAACCCAAAATAAGTGTGATATAAGTTCCTCCATAAAATCAGTACAATTGTACCATTCAGTAACGTACGTATCCTTTTGAGGTGCTACTGTACTGACATGAATACAAATCGAACTGCCTGTTCTTAGAAAATTTAGTAGGTTCATGTGCAATTACTGTGTTTTCTGCTGGCCACACGTTATCCTCTCTCTCCACGCCTGGTGTTAATTTGTTCTGTTATTTCCTTGTGTCTTTGTATGATATCCTTCAAGATCTCCTGTGTTTTTGTAATTTGTTCTGTTCATTTCATTGGGAAAGCTTATTGGCATTCACAAATCAATGGACGCTTACCAGTCTTGCTTGTAGTTTCACACAAACTTTTTGTGACATGCTCTTGTTCTTATTTGACTCAGGATCTAAATCAAGATGAAGTGGGATTCGGGACTAATATCTACTTTTTGATGTCATGGCCTTTTCTTGCAAGATGAAGTTATTAGGAAATATTGAAACCACAATGAATTTGCTTCAGCTCCTGGCTAATGTCTAATTTTGTTGTAACTGTACTTCAGCTGGCTCATGCTTTTTGGCTGCTAGTTTATACGTATTACCTCAATGATGGATCTCTCATCTCTGACCGTTCTATTTCTATCTAGTGTTGTGTTGCAAGTTTTGAAGATTGTAATTTATCTGATGTGGTTACTTTTGTTGGGAAGGGGAATCAAGTTTTTGTATGTTCTGCCTAATATCGTTTAATTGCCAATGGCCAATGAGGTGAAAAAAGAAACCTATGGATAGAGAAATAACCGCTACTTTGATTAAATATCTGATGAGTTATTTTAGCAACCAAATGTAGTAGAGTGAGATGGTTGTTTTGTGAGAATAGTCTTGGCATACAAGCTAACTTAAACACTTGTGGATATAGAAGAAATATCACAAACGTAAACTTAAACACTTATGGATATAGAAGAAATATCACAAACGTAAATATTATTCTACATCCTGGTCTTGAGAGAGATTAAGAATTCTTGTTGAATGCCAAAAACTATGACCATTGCATTTCACTTTGAGCAACATTAGAGAAAGCATACAATTTTTACATTAATCTTAGATGGTAAGATTAGTGTCCACTTATCTATTAAATAGAATAGAAGTGGTATTATTTATGTATAAGCAAGTATTTTTTTCTACAAAAAGCAAGTATTGTTTGAGAGGGAATGATTTTATTTTATTTTATTTATTTATTTTAAAGAAAAATAATGGTTTAAATCGATTCATTCAAAGACGGCTCTTTGAAACAAAACAGACTCTTTTTTTTTCCTTTAAAAAAATAAACGATTTATTTTTGTCTCGAATGAAATTACCMTATTTTGATGAGTATTTTGAAATTGCATTATTTATAAAAAAAATACATTATTAAAAAAAGATTAAGATACACGTTTGGTCCCTGAACTTTGAACAAAGTAACAATTTAGTCCCTAAATTTTCAAAAGTAACAATTTAGTCTATGTACTTTAAAATTGGTTACAATTTAGTCCCTACCGTTAAAAATTAAGTTATATTTAACAAAATTGTGACATGACAAATCCATGTGTACAATAAATTGTCCGGTCGTCGGTTCAATATTGGGTTGGTTTAAAATTAAACCGGTTTAAGATTAAAAACAGAATAATCGTAAAAAGAAATACTTCCTCCACCTCGACTTTCTCAAAGCCTCCCACCAAACCCACTCCACCGCCGACGTCGTCGTCTCCGACACCGCCTCCATCTCCGACGAAAACGTCGTGGTTTCCCTCTCCTCAGATTTGAGCTCTCTAAGCCATGGATATGGAGAATTCAACTTAGGCGAAATAGACATCATAGTGAAGAACTGGAGAGGAGAGGAAGTTACAGAGGGTGTGCTTTCGTCTTGAAACATTGTTAAGTGCAGCAAACCGAGGAACAATTTTTGGAACAGAGGAGCAAAAAAAAAAAAAAAAACAACAGAGCGAGTTAAATCCTCAGTTTCCCTCATCATTTCCTAGAGAACTCATGGAAGATCGTACAATATGAGGATTAAAGGGCAAAAGACAAAATGGATTTGCTATTGGGAATAATTACACAGACTAGTGAGAGAGGGGAAAAAACCCCAAAAAATAAACACAGAATATACTGAAATGGGTGAGAGAGGAAACTGAAGATTTCAATCAAAAGATGAATATAAACAAACTTGTTAAGCTACAAGAATCAGGAGACAACCAGGAAAGAAATACTTGGAATCTGGGTTGCGAGCGTTTGTGGGTTTGCTCTGTTTGTATCATTGAGTCTGAGTCTGAGCTTGGTTTTTTCAATTAAAGTTGTGTTTTGAAAATGCTCCGGATGAAATGTCGATGGAACAACGAAGTTTTTGTCGGAGATGGAGGCGGTGTCGGAGACGGCGACGTCTGCGTTGGAGTTGGCTTGGACGACTCAGAAGGCAGTCGGTGGAGGGAGGATGTGAAAAGGTCGAGGTGGAGGAGGTACTTTTTTTATACAATTATTTTTGTTTTTAATCTTAGGTTTAATTTTGAACCAATCCAATATTGAATCGTACGACTGGACAATTGATTGTACACGTGAATTTGTCGCATCACAATTCAGTTAAATCTAATCTAATTTTTAATGGTAAAGACTAAATTATAATTAATTTTAAATTAAAATTGTTACTTTTTCAAAGTTTAAACACGAAAGGTGTATTTTAACCTAAAAAAAATATGTTTTGACGTGATTATGCTGAGAGGGGTATTTGTGAAAAGTAGGTATGGTATGTGGGGGTATTTCCGTAAAAAGACGCAGCTTCCGTCCTTCACAAAAAGCAAAACCCTAGAGTCTGAAAGTGGCGTCATGCATATAAAAGTAACGGTAGTGCATCTGTTGTAGCCGCCGCAAGGGAGACGCCAAAGTCCATCAACAATGTCGAAGCGAGGTACTCTTCTCCTTCATCACTCTTACTTCTGACATGGCGTCTCATCGATCAAACTGAAACTGAGTTTAATCTGCTGTTCTTCTGATTGCTGTCACAGGGAGGGGAGGATCTGCGGGGAACAAGTTTCGGATGTCGCTGGGTCTTCCAGTGGCTGCTACTGTCAACTGTGCGGATAACACAGGAGCCAAGAATCTCTACATCATTTCAGTGAAAGGGATCAAAGGCCGCCTTAATAGGTTGCCATCCGCATGTGTCGGTGACATGGTCATGGCCACCGTCAAGAAGGGCAAGCCTGATCTCAGGAAGAAGGTCTTGCCTGCTGTTATTGTTAGGCAACGCAAGCCATGGCGCCGAAAGGATGGCGTCTTCATGTATTTCGAAGGTTTTCCTTGTTTCCGTCCTTGTTCTACTTGTACTTTTTTGGCGATTTTAGTTTTTTTCCTCCAATAGTAAGTTAAATGCATGGTGGGAAGTCTTGTATATATTGAAAATAAAAGTATTGGGAGTCAGAATTATTTTGATGATATTAATTATTGGGTTATCGGCTTAATTTTTAGGTTTAACTTGCAACTTCTTTTAATTTTTATCTTTCTCTATGATGTCGGGAAGGTCGCTAATTTTTGTTGTCTGATGTTGAGTGACTTTTTTGACGTAGGCATGTTCTTCTATATCGTTGTCGTTTGCTTCTTACATTGTAATCAGTTGCCTTTTCGATATATATTTTTGACTGTCCAGTTACTGAGAAGCGTATGGCTAGTAAAGAGTGCTATTTTACTACTACGTCGTGTTCTTCTGGTAAATACTGCATGAACCTGCTCTATTAATATCTATCTTGTAGAATCTATAAATTTACTAAGTTGGAACTTCTAAGGTTGGAGAAAGTGTTTACTAATTTGTTTTAATGTACGAGAGAAAGTTACTAATGGGTTTCATTCTGTGATTTAACTATCAGTTTGATTGGGTATGGTGTGGAAGTAATTATGAAGTCTTCTGTTCTTTGTTCTGTGTTCAGCAACAATTTTTGTTTTTGGATTTTCAGACTTGATTCAGAGTTTAAAGTACTTCGTGGCTATAACACGAAATTTTCTTTGAAACTCTTATGATTTATGAACTGGCCTACGTTTGAAAACAGGATCTGAATTGAAGTAATCTAGGCGACTAAATTTTATTTTTCAGTGATTTTGGCTTTTTAACTGTTTTGCTTCAACTTTAAGGATTCTTCAAATGAGATTGTTCCCCTGTAATTTGGGCTCTTCAGTTTTTGATCTCTGGTAAATGAGATTACTCCCTTGTTTTTGGACCCTTCGTTTTTTATGACTTTTAAATTTGACTGAGAGTTCTCGTTCTCCCCGGTAGTTGGGACTCTCTGTTGTCATGTCTTTTAAATGAGATTTTCATCTCTAGAATGTTGGCGTAAGAAGCAAATGATTCGTGCTAATCTTGTGAGGGAAAAAGGGAATGTCAGTCTACAGATAGTGAATATGATGACTACAATGCATATATATATGAAATGTTATTTTTGTTGCTAATGTTTGTTTTTTATTACCACAACAATTTGTAGACGTGTTTTCTTATACGTATGTATTCTATTTTGTCTATTTTGTCAGATAATGCCGGTGTAATTGTCAACCCCAAGGGAGAGATGAAAGGTAACGTCCTTTTGGTCTGTTAGTATAGAATGTTATAACTTAAGAATATGCGACATAGTAGATGGTAATTTTGGAAGTTTTGCAAGAAGTTTACTTTTTTCCCTTTGGAGAAGGCAATATGGTGTGAGGGATTAGAACCATGTGAGTTGTTTGCACCGACTAATCTTGGCTGATTGTCACATTACTGATTCATATTTTATTTTGACAGCCAATTGGTTGGGTAGATGAGATAATAAGAAATAGTTATAATGGAATAAATGGAAAGGAGACCAAAGAACTCAAGTGCTTCTAAGGCGTAATTATTTATAATGCCAAAGGAGGCTGGAGAAATATCTACTCCTAATTATTTGCAGACTTGACATTGTTATACCAAAAAGTGAGCAAAAAAAGAGGTTGTCCAGGTGAGCCACCAAATGTAGTAGGGTTAAGCCAGTTATCCCAGGAGATTAGTCAAGGTGTGTGCAAGCTAGTTTGGACACTCACCGATATAAAAAAAGTGAGCAAGAAAAAAAGAGGTTTTATTAAATTTGACTTGACATTGTTATACCAAAAAAAGGAAAAAAAGGCTTCGTTAACCTTGAACGACTATTTTTCATTCTGTAATATAATTAATTTGATACATCCTCAAGTTTTGAGGTTGATGCATTTGGGGATAAGGGAAAATTATCTTTCATGAAATATGATTGCTCTTCTTGATGAACCTTGAATGTGCTTCGGTTGGATAGCACCCCTTCCCCTGCAGTACAGCATTGGCAGTTGGCAGTAGTCAAATGGAATTTTAAGTTTGGTGCTCTTAATTACAGGTTCGGCTATTACTGGCCCCATCGGGAAGGAATGTGCTGATCTCTGGCCGAGAATTGCTAGTGCTGCTAATGCCATTGTGTGAGGACAGAAAGCTGAAGCTGTTAGTTCTTGGCATGTTTTAGTAATCAAATTTGCGTTCCAAGTGTTTTTTTTTTTTGCCTCTGGCTTTGTTAGAGACAGTTGCAGGCTAATTTTTGAGGTTTTCTTAATCTGTTGGATTGCTTCGGTTTAAATATCTGTTGCTTTACTTTGCTCTTTTCTACTTTGTTAACTTTTGCTATAGATACGAAGGACTAATGTTCTATAACTTTAATATTTGGAGAAATTTTAGAAAGTTTTGGCTGTTATTGTACGCTCATCTTTTTAACCGTGTTGGTTCAATCTGTATTGAATAGTTCAATTTATAATTGAACCCATGAAAATCATATTGTTGATGAAATGTGAAATATTTGAAAATGGAAGTTTATTGGTGAAGCATGGTTGGAGGGTAGTTTAGGTGACGTTTTCGTAAGGTGCTTTGTCTCGCTCCCTTGTTGTGATTGTTACATGCCGGCCGCAAAGGGTAAAAATTCAACATCTAAAAATAATTGCAATGTATGTTTTTTAGTGATTTCCAACTAGTATTTTTAGGTATAGCATTTTTGTTCCTTATACTACAAATAAAACTACTTTCCGAGTGTTTTCAAACTAGAACTAAATGCCATTAAACATTAAAAAGGTGTTCTATTGGTTTATCTTATTTCTTTCTCATATCCTTAGAAGCTCAATTCATAAAAGTTTGAGACTAAATTTGTAGAACTCAACTATTTTAACGACAATTTAAAACTAGTTGAGCGAATGTTTTACAATTTGGCATTGGTCTGTAATATTGAGATAGAGAGAGGAGAGGCGGCTTTGAGTTGAAGTAAGGAAGTCTGAAAGGCAAGCAATTACCAACCATCCCTCTCTGAAACTCTCATGGCTCACCTGACCTGAGCTTCCGTGGTTTGGACTCAAACCCAAACCCCATGACTTCCCAACTCACGGTTTGGTGTACCTTTCTGATCTCTCTTTCTTTTATTACAACACATTATTCCATTTCCAACACTCCATTCTTCCCTTCCTTCATTCCTCGTGCTCTCTCTACTCGCATGGCCGGCGCCGGCTTCGTCACTGGTTCCCAACACCATCCCTTCCCTCCCCACCAGGTCACTTCCTTCATCCTATTCCTATTCCTATTCCTATTCCTATTCCCACACTATGTTTTCAAAACCTCTCTAATAATTATTAACAATATGCAGAATAGTAATGTTGATCCGCCATCCTCCAAAACATGTCGAGTTTGCGGGGACGAAATCGGAGTCGACCAAGATGGCAAAGTGTTCGTGGCGTGTGTGGTGTGCAGTTTCCCCGTTTGCCGCCCTTGTTACGAATACGAAAGGAGCGAAGGCAACAAGTGCTGCCCCCAATGCAACACCCGCTATAAGCGCCACAAAGGTGGTCTTCTTCTTCTCCTTCTCCTCCTTCTCCTCCTTCTTCCACACATCACACATCAATTAACACACGCGCCTTCATTAATTTCCTCTGTAGGTTCTCCCAGAGTCATTGGGGATGATGAAGAAACTTACGATGTTGATGATTTTGATGATGAGTTCCCCGTTAACCATCCCCATCACCACTCTCAAACAAAACATCCTAACCATTCGGTAACAATCGCACTTAATTCTCTTATTAACCTTTCTAACCTGGTTTTATGCTTAAACTACAACTTTGGCCTACTGGTCTCTTCTAAATTTTTTAAAAATTCCTAGTATTATATCTGTGTTGTCCTTAACTGTTGCTCAACACTAATCTATACGACACAATCATGTCATGTGAATGTTAAATTAAAGTAGATAATAATAGATACTTGATGATTGATGATATATAAAATTATAAAGGCTCAAGGAGTTTTTATTGTTTAATAAAAAAAATAGAATTGTTTGACTCAAACACATGGATTCAAGGATGATAAAACAAAATCTTTATTTATGTTGGAACAAAACAAAAATGCACCAAATGGGTCTTAAATATCTCAAACTTAGAGATGAAACTTGTAACTTCACATGATTTAATTTATACATACTTGCTGACTTTTTTGTTGTTGAGAGAAACAGAATAACTTAAACCAATTGCAATTGGGTTTTTGGGTGTCTCAGGAAAACGAAAACCACAATCAGCAGAATTGGCATCAAAACGTCCAGACTTCCTTCTCTGTTGCAGGCAGTGGTATATCTCATGCTTTTAATTGATTTTGTCATGAACAACAGAGTGTTTGTGTTTTTGTTATCTGGGTGTTGGGTAGTTGTCATTTTCCGTTGTGGAATTGGTAGTGAATGGCAAGGATTTTGAAGCGGAGAAGGAGGGTTACAGCAACGCTGAATGGAAGGAGAGAATAGATAAGTGGAAAGTCAGACAAGAGAAGAGAGGTTTGGTGAACAAAGACGATGGAAATAACAATAATGATCAAGGCGACGAAGACGACTACCTGTAAGCATTTTTTTTTTCGCCTTTTTGCTTTCTAATGTCACGGTTGCATGAATGATCTGGATTCACCCTCCAATTACTGTTACTTACAACGCCGCAGATTGGCTGAAGCCCGGCAACCCTTATGGCGGAAACTTCCAATATCTTCCAGCAAAATCAGTCCGTATCGCATAGTCATAGTTCTCCGCCTCGTAATTCTTGCCTTCTTCTTCCGTTTTCGGATCCTAACTCCGGCCTACGACGCATTCCCATTGTGGCTCATCTCTGTGATCTGCGAAATCTGGTTCGGTTTTTCATGGATACTGGATCAGTTCCCCAAATGGGCTCCCATCAACCGGGAAACCTACTTGGACCGCCTCTCCATGAGGTTCGAGCGCGAAGGCGAACCCAACCGCTTGTCCCCAGTTGATTTCTTCGTCAGTACTGTGGACCCTCTGAAGGAGCCCCCCATCATCACCGCCAACACTGTGCTCTCCATCCTCTCTGTGGACTATCCGGTGGACAAAGTGAGCTGCTATGTCTCCGACGATGGTGCTTCCATGTTGCTCTTCGATACTCTCTCCGAAACCGCGGAGTTTGCCCGGAGATGGGTGCCGTTTTGCAAGAAGTTCAGTGTTGAGCCCAGGGCTCCCGAGTTTTACTTCTCCCAGAAGATCGATTACTTGAAGGACAAAGTGCTGCCCAGCTTTGTGAAGGAGAGGAGAGCAATGAAGGTAAACTACTCTTAATTCTTATGTCAAGAATGATTGAATTTGTAATGAACCAATTCTTTGCAGAGAGAATACGAAGAGTTCAAGGTGCGGATCAACGCGTTGGTGGCAAAGGCTCAGAAGAAACCTGAGGAAGGATGGGTTATGCAGGATGGCACTCCATGGCCAGGAAACATCACCCGTGATCATCCTGGCATGATACAGGTATCAAATCAAAACTTACAACAGTAAACGCTCTAAACGCAAGTGAAATATGGGTAGAGAGAGTGACTTTTTTCTCAAAAATTTCACTGGGGGTTTCTTCTTGCCTTGTAGGTGTATCTGGGCAGTGAAGGTGCACTGGATGTAGAAGGTAAAGAATTGCCTCGTCTTGTATATGTTTCTCGTGAGAAACGCCCTGGATATCAGCACCACAAGAAAGCTGGTGCTATGAATGCTCTTGTAAGTATCTCTTCTCCTGATTCAAATGATTTAACCCTCAGTGATTGGAGTGAGGCTGTGAAAATGAAAATGGACCTGAAAGTTCTCATTGTGTCCGGTTTTACAGGTTCGAGTCTCTGCAGTCCTCACAAATGCACCATTCATATTGAATCTGGATTGTGATCACTACGTCAACAACAGCAAAGCTGTAAGGGAGGCCATGTGCTTTCTAATGGATCCTCAGCTTGGCAAGAAGCTATGCTATGTTCAGTTTCCTCAAAGATTTGATGGTATTGATCGTCACGATAGATATGCTAATCGGAATATTGTGTTCTTCGATGTAAGTCATATGAGTTTTTTGGTCATTTCTTTCTTTGAGCAACATTGTTGACTTGTAAACAACTCAGTTTACTAACTATTATTATTGAATGGATACTGTAATATAGATCAACATGCGAGGACTAGATGGAATCCAAGGCCCAGTTTATGTTGGCACAGGATGTGTCTTCAATAGGCCAGCTTTATATGGATATGAGCCACCAGTCTCCGAGAAAAGGCCGAAGATGACATGTGATTGCTGGCCTTCATGGTGTTGCTTCTGTTGTGGTGGTTCAAGGAAGTCGAAGTCCAAGAAGAAAGGAGAAAGAGGTTTGTTTGGAAGTCTGTTCACAAAGAAGAAGAAGATGATGGGGAAGAGTTACGTTAGGAAAGTGTCGGGGCCAGTTTTTGATCTTGAAGAGATTGAAGAAGGGTTTGAAGGTTATGATGAGTTGGAGAAGTCATCACTCATGTCGCAAAAGAATTTCGAGAAAAGATTTGGGCAGTCTCCTGTTTTCATTGCTTCCACCCTTAAGGAAGATGGTGGGCTCCCAGAAGGAACTAATAGCACATCACTTATTAAAGAAGCCATCCATGTGATAAGTTGTGGTTATGAAGAAAAAACAGAATGGGGAAAAGAGGTTGGTGGCATTGGCTTTTTATATTGTTTTGTTTGGAATCTTGGATATCCTGTTTTGAAACATCCTCCTGAATCTAGTGGTTAACAGTAACAGACTATTATATGTTTGTTTTGCAGATAGGTTGGATTTATGGTTCGGTTACAGAAGATATCTTGACAGGATTCAAGATGCATTGTAGAGGATGGAAGTCAGTGTACTGCATGCCACACAGACCAGCTTTCAAGGGGTCCGCTCCGATAAATCTCTCGGATCGTTTGCACCAAGTTCTGAGATGGGCTTTAGGTTCTGTTGAAATCTTCCTCAGTCGTCACTGCCCGCTGTGGTATGCTTATGGGGGAAAGCTAAAATGGCTTGAGAGGCTTGCCTACATCAACACTATTGTTTACCCTTTTACTTCCATTCCATTACTTGCATACTGCACCATTCCTGCTGTCTGTCTTCTCACTGGAAAATTCATCATCCCCACTGTAAGTGATTCTATTCTATTCTACACTGCTTTCTGTTTATTCATCTCAGTTCAATCAATACAAAGTTACTAAAATATGCGCAAATTCTCTACAGTTGACAAACTTAGCTAGTGTCTGGTTCATGGCCCTGTTTATCTCCATCATTGCTACTGCCGTGCTGGAGCTTCGATGGAGTGAGGTGAGTATTGAGGACTTGTGGCGTAACGAGCAATTCTGGGTCATTGGTGGCGTCTCTGCGCATCTTTTTGCAGTGTTCCAAGGCCTGCTCAAGGTCCTTGGTGGAGTAGACACCAACTTCACAGTTACAGCAAAAGCAGCCGAGGATACCGAGTTTGGAGAGCTCTACCTTTTCAAGTGGACGACCCTCCTCATCCCGCCGACCACTCTTATAATCTTGAACATGGTGGGAGTGGTTGCTGGGGTTTCTGATGCAATCAACAATGGCTACGGGTCATGGGGTCCTCTATTTGGAAAGCTGTTTTTTGCTTTCTGGGTCATTGTTCATCTCTATCCTTTCCTCAAGGGTCTCATGGGAAGACAAAACAGAACCCCCACCATTGTAGTGCTCTGGTCCGTGCTCCTTGCATCCATATTTTCACTGGTTTGGGTGCGAATTGATCCATTCCTGCCCAAGCAAACTGGCCCCGTCCTCAAACAATGTGGAGTCGATTGCTAGTCATGCTCTGATGCTCCGCTTTCACTTCTTTTTGTTGTTGGGTTGCCTCAGTTGTGTTCAATTGTTTGAAGTTTTGAGATATCTTTGTAGCTTTTATTGTTTGAAATGAATATACATACAAAAATATAATATCAATCTACAAAGGATAGTAACGTAATAAATAATCTCGCTAGCTTTTCTATTGCATTCTTAAAGACTGAAAACCTTTAAAGGGGGTGTGTACGTATAGCCTCCCCTTGGCAACGACTCATAAACAATGTCGAGATACAAAATGGGAAAAACGAAAAATGAATTTTGTTTAGTTCTTAGCTAATTTGGACATCAATGACTCAAATACAACCTACAATTTTAGTTTCAGAGTCAGATACTCAGATTAAAGCTGAATAAATTAGGAAAGTCCAGAATTGATTGATTCCATAATAATAACTTTAAATGTAAAGTTGTAGCAAGATTTGGCAAGATGTTCTTAAGAAGGGAATGATTACGACGATTTGTGGTAGCTATTCCATTGAGATACAGGCAGCAGGTTAAACAAACAGTGCACATTTAATTTACAGACAAATCAAAAAAATATAAGCAGGTCTTACACAATCAAATGCATCACAGTCCTGATCTAACTTCATCACCTCAAGCTTTAGCAACTCCTCTATTATTCAAAGCTCTTTCCAACCTCGTCTCAAATGGTGTAGAGTGCCAATTCACTGTCTTATCCTGCACAGTGCACCCACAAAACAAAACAACAACTTAGTCCCCTCCCATTGCCACCGTCAAAATTTCAACACGTCTTACTCCTTACCTCTCTATACTTGCTGGTTGTATTTGGTATTCCTTTAAAAGAAGAGGCTGAATCATGATCCTCATCACTCGCTTCAGGCATCTCGTTGCGGCTACTTCTTCCTGGTGAGCTTGATCCTTGCAATGTGCTGCTTTTCACTGGAGGAGTAACTGTGTCTTCTAAAGCCATTGTTGTAGTGATCGGACCGACTGGTGTTGATTCTGATGAAGCCAACCAGTTAGAAAGGCTGGCATCGACACTTGGTTCTTTACTCGACTTGAAAGCTTTCGACTTGGAACTGGTTGATTCTTGTTCCAACTTCAGATTCTCTTTCTGAGGTGTCGGTGGCAATGCCCCCTTTGATTTCACCACATTCCATTGAGAAAGATTTTCAACTGGATTCCGTACAGGGCAAATATAAGCAGTCCTATGCCTGGCCTTTTTTCGGTTTGACCCGCAAACATACGCGGAACTATTGGCCACGGAAGAAATTGATTCAACCATTTCATTTTCATCATGACTATCAAAAACCTCATCCTCATCATCACTGTCCTTACAGTTCCTGTATCGATGAGTTGGAGGGCAAGATGATGTGAAGCTGGGACTGAGAGAAACAGCAATATCTTCAGATGAAGATTCAGGTTTGCTTGCTTTTGCTGCACTTGCTTCCATCTCCCTCTTGTCCTGTTTCTTCCCATGAACTGAATCGGCTTCTTCATAGGATAAAACAACATACTGATCATGGGGTTTCACACAATTCACTTCCTCCATGGGACTAATGTCCAGTGATCCATCACGCCTATTCCTATGACCAAAAGCCGCATTATTCTCATTTCTAACTAAAAAACAGAAGCTAAACTGCAAAACAAAGTTTAAATTATATGTTCTGGTCCTAAACTGTGTGTATTAATTTTTGTAATTTGAGGCATTAGTTGGAGTCTTATCCTTGTATAAAAAGGAAAAAGTGTGTTAAAGAAAGTTAATAAATGATTGAGAGTTGTTAGGAAAAAAAAAGAGAGAGGGAGTCGTTAGAATGTTTTCATAACTGAGGTCCTGTTAGAAATTTTATAGCCAAAATGAAAATTGAAAAGTGAAGTAGTGATAGAATACAATACTGACCCAGCTTCCAGAAGCGGATGCGAAGGAATGGGATTGGTCTGCAGGAAAGCAAAGCGGAAGCAGAGCAACATTGAAGATAGATAAAAAGAGAAGAGGAGAAAGTAGAAAACAGTTTGTAAAGAAAGAGAATGACCTGAAATTGGATGGTGGATTGTTGGTCCCTGTTGCGCTGTTTGCCATTTTTGGATGAACAAAAACCAAAGCACGAAGCAAAAAGACGACCCATCGCTTCGCTTCACAAATTACTTGCAGTTCCAAGTTCGATCGAACAGCAAAATTTGGTTTCTAGGTTTTCAATTTGCTTGCCAGGAAAGAAACAGCCGAGGGAGCGGGCATTGGTATTGGGAAAGATTCTGGTTGGAAAGGGAGAGGAAAGCAAAAAAACGGTCTCCAAATTTGAACTTTGTTTGGACTGGACAGCCAGAGCCTATGGTTTTAAATTAATTGGAAAAGTTACCATCATTGAATCCCTTATAAAAATTCCACTCACCATTTCAGCTCTATTTTCTTTTATTTCTTTTTGAGTCTTCGAAATCATGTTTTAAAAAAAAGGTCCTCGTGATCTTGAAAGTCAAGTAAAGATGCTGTGTGACATTAATAATACCAAATTGGATAAATATATCTTAAAAATGAAAAAGGATATCAATGATAAATTTTGCAATGGGATGAGAGAGGTTTGAACCCTCGAACTTAGAATAACTTAGAAGCTATGAGACCTACCCCTTACCAACTGCTCCACCACCCCTTGGATGATTAAATATATTTTGTTTATTATCACTTGATTTTGTTTTGTTCGTAATTCCCACAAAATGGTCTTGTAGAATGCCCAATCTCAGATTCATCTTTCTTCGGTGATCGATAGGCTTCATCATTGTTGTAAGTAAAGTATAACCTTCCCCCTCACCCCGAAACCACACCACATAGACTTACTACATACTCAGGCATCCAAGTTGATTTGTTTGATTTCTGAAAACATCCACATAAGATTAATCATGAAGCCCACAACCTGGTATCTTTGGCATCCCTGAATTTTCTTGCATTAAACATCCTATAATTTCGTTGGTTTCCCGTTCCAGATTGCACAAAGAATAACGACCAATTCCTCCATTTCACCCCAACCCAATGCTATATTTACAATCTCTCAACACATTCAATACACCAGCTTCCAAGTCGTACGTTTCAGAGGGAAAACCAAAAAGCCGTTAATCTTAATTCTGAATTGACGGAGTGGGGCAGTTTGGTAATTTAACCCTATGTTGGCATTTTCGTAGTTTCCGTAAGAAATGAGGGCAGTTACATAGCTCAGCTTCTATAAATACAAGCTTCCCTTTGCCTCCTTGCGCTTAAAGTTTCCCTCCTTCTCTCCTTCCCATTTGCATCTCCTCGTTTTCTTCCGCTTTCTCAATTCTCTTAAAATTGTTTAGGTCGTCTTATTTTCTTTTCTTCCGCTCTGGCCTGAGGCATTATTCTTCTGAGCGTGCCAATTTGGAAATATATTTTTGGGAGGTGGGGGTGATGTGGCATTGCATTCTATTGTATTGTATTGTAGACTTGTACTAGGTTTGGGTTTAGGTAAGATTAGAGATAGAAGAGATGAATACCACCAAAAGGATGCGTTTGCCACCGCGTCGATTCGGATTAATTATGCCCCACGGGCCCAATAAGGGGCGAGAGGCCCAGGCCCACAAAGAGTTCCTCACCAGCGGCACTCTTTTGGGCCAGCCACCGGCTCACCACGGCTACGTGGAGGTAGCTAATTTGATCAAACATGGTGGGGCCCATTTCGAAGGTATTGTAGATCCCAGCCAGCTACCTCTCTTGCAGCAGTTGCGCCTTCTCTCTTTCGACTAGGTGGAACTGGAAGAGTACATGTGGTGTGCAGGGGACCACTTATACATTTTAAAATAATAATTCTATCCATATTTTAATCATGGACGGAAAGTCTTCTTGTCTCAATTCTACTGATAAAAATTAAATCACGCTATACTTTTAGTCCTTCATATATCTTTGAAATTGCACGATTAATATAGTCACCTTTTTTTAGCTAGTGGGTTTGGATTTCTAATGAACTGTTATTACCACAAATTAATTGCCACGTAAGGATCCAAAATGCGGTGGTTTTGGGAAGATTTAGGCTCATAGTATTTGGAGGAACTTTTTTTAGGGCGTTTTGCTCCACGAGTTTGGGTTATGTAGCCTGGATTTTGGTAGCATGTATTTCGAGTGCCTAGGCCTACGGCATATAATTTAATTAAATTTGTAGACAATTCTTTTAAGGCAATTAATCTATCTATTTTAAAATTTACATTTCTTAATTTATATATTTTTCAACCATAATTTGAATTTCTACCTTCTATATCCTATAGATGGACGTGAGATTTTTATTTATTGATATTACCTTTTACATTATTTGTTGTTTTAAAGTTAATAATTTAAACAAATTCTTTCAAATTTTTATATTTATTTTTTTTAATTACTATATTATATATTCAAATATTTTCACTCATATACTTATACTAAAATTATTTATCGAATAAAAAATTTAAATGATTTATAAAATTATAGAATTATTTCATTTTTTTATAATTTAAAAAATATCAACATCACTTAAATTTAAAAATGTTGACATTGAAATGGTTGAGTTTTAGTATAATTAAGCTACAATTAAAGTTTCATTCGTTAACTAAACAATTTGTATAAATTTTCGTTAAATTATGCTGGGTTGGCATCAAAATTGTAATAATTTTTGTTGAAGTTATAAGCCTTACGACTATATAAAAGATATAAAAATTACACCCAATTGTAATGTCGAACCTGAGTTATACTTATGATTGAGTAAAGAATATAAAAAAAGGTAGAGTTTTTATAGGTAAAATATAATTTAGGGACCAATTTACAAGTTTAATGGAAATTAATTTGATTTTTAAACACTAAATTAAAAGTTTTTATTTTAGTATAACATATAAAATAGGAGATTCAAAGCGGACAAGGTGGATTTATTTATTTTTGAAATATACAGGTTGAAATTATACAAAAATCAAAAGGAAAGAAATTGTAATTTAAAACATTGTAAACCTAGGGGTCTCTGAAACGATATTCTCCGGCCGACCTTAGAGCTGCTTGCTTCCAGTGTCCGCTTCTGAAGGTTGATCTGCAGGGCGTATCGAACATTCTATTTCTCATACACGTCTCAAGAAAGCATGGTGAGAGGGTTGCTCAATAAGCTCGTCTCTCGATCTCTTTCCGTCGCAGGCAAATGGCAGCAACAACAGCTGCGACGTCTCAACATCCATGAGTATCAGGTTCTTTTTGCTCATAATTTCTTTTACTATTAGCATGTCTTGGATTCTGATTCCTGGGGTGTGTTTAGCCATCGGAAAATTTATGGAATTCTKCATTTCGCCTGCTTCTTGGATTCCATTTAAATCTTGTGGAAGGATTTTCATTTTTTTGTCACACCTAATTTTTTACTCTTCCTGTGGTGATCAGGGGTCTGAGCTGATGAGTAAATATGGGATCAATGTACCCAAGGGCGTTGCCGTTTCTTCTGTTGATGAAGCTAAAAACGCAGTGCGGACTGCTTTTCCTGATGCGAAAGAGGTATTCATGGGTCGTCATGGTTCTCTTCTTCATCTCACGATGCAACGTTCTTTTTTTTGGATGTCTTAAAATTCTGAAATTCACGAAGAGAAATCATTATGGTTCTAGCATGACTTCGCATGAAATTTTTATTTAGAATTGAAATAGAGCTTGGACGCCGCATTATATATTACCAAAATCTCAACCAGTTAAGAGAAGCATTGTACAAAATTTGATATCGTGCAGTTGGTCGTTAAAAGTCAAATTTTAGCTGGTGGAAGAGGTTTGGGAACGTTCAAAAGCGGCTTAAAGGGTGGAGTTCACATTGTGAAGGTGGACCAGGTTGAAGAGTTTGCTGGTAGGACGACCTTTTGTGTTTTCATCTTTCTAAATCGTTAAAAAGGTTCTCAGTTTCTAACCATTTGAAGATTCTAGTTCTACTTACGTGGTTGCTGAATCTCATATTAGATCTGGGGAGCATTTCTCAAAGCCAATTTGTCTATTGTACTTTATGGAATTAAGTACTACTTTTCCGCTTCTGCTTTAGTTTGCTTAAATGTGGAGCGGACGAATTTTATAGAATATTTCAATGAAATCCTTTTTTCCTCAGTTTTGGCCTTTTCCTATTTTCTGTGCAGGAAAGATGCTAGGGCAGATACTCGTCACTAAACAAACTGGTCCCCAGGGCAAAGTAGTCAGCAAGGTATCATATGTCTTCAGTCTGCATAGTCCCTTTAGTTCCTTTATGCATAATCTTCCTGAATAATGCAAATTTGTAGCTGTTATTTTCCTTTTTGTAGATTCTGTTCTTCTGCCTAGGAATCTGTCTGGTTACTTATAATCAATGTGAATTTTTTTTGGTGAGATTTGACAAGTTTTCCTATGGCTAGTACCGTGGCTTTAGCTCCTTACAATACAATTTTCTTACACAACAAGTGGGCTTAACCAAATATAGCCAAAAGACCTTAACCTTGTTGATGAAAGAATGAGTCAATGACTAATGAGTTGAAAAACAGAGTATTTTTTGTTACCATGTCTGCACCATCCAAGATCAAAAAGCTTAAACACCACCTGGTACAATTAGAATGCTGACAAATGGAGAACTACTATTTGGCTTTCTCCATCTTGCAAAAGAGCCCCAGTAGGAGGAAGACCATGATTCAGATTTCCATTTTGAACTGTCACCAGTGTTAATCTTGCCAAGAGCTATTGACTAAAACAGTAAGAAAATGGTTAAAGTGCGATCTGCAAGTATACACTAAAGAGCTGTTAAGTTTGGTACCGTAGTGTAGGGAGGGTGAGAAATGCAGAAACCATCACCTTTTAGTGAAGTAAAACCCATTCATTAGTCTACCTCTCATATATGGGCCCTGTTAAACTTCAACTTCCTGCAAGAATTATCGATCTTTTGCAGGCTTTTAGATGTATCTAGAGTGAGAATGAGGCAAGGCAATTCAGTATGGGAATAATATTGCATAACTTGAGGCAATTTTATGGGAAGGGAACTAATGAAGTAATGATTGATTCGGGATCGCTTACAAATTAGCTTTCACTTATTATGCATAAACCAGTGTGTCAAATATGTTGTATATTTATTAGAAGGAATATGTTGTATTCTATTGAAAAGCATATTATTGCGTTTCTTTCTTACTTTTCATCATCTCCTTTGTGTCTGCTATATGGTTTGTTTGTCAATGCCCGACAGTAAAGATCTGAGTGTTTTAACAGGACCAATTTTTAATTTTAATTTATTCCTTCTCTTTGTTTCAATACAGGTTTATCTGTGCGAGAAGTTGTCACTTACCAAT